GGAATTCCAAAAGAGGCGGTGTTAATTAATTATCAAAAAGATATTCGGATACAATTTAACATTTCCTCTCTATTTTGTTGTTATAAGTGACTATATTTATTAAATTATTTCTAACTAAGTTTTATATGGCTAAATTTTTCTTCACATATAAAACACATGATGTAATTAAAGTGTTGAAAATCAGTCTATATAAATATCATTGTTAAAAATGTAAATAATATTTAGAAAATAGATAAAGTATTTACGCAGTAAGTGAAATTATTAAAACATCCCAAAAAGCCAAAAACTATGATCACGAGTTCATGACAAAACATGTTGACTTCCAAGCACTTGCTACTCTTTCATTGTGTGGCTTTGTATTTCTTAAGAAGTGGGAGAAGCCCATAATTAATTTAATAATGTTATCATCACTTTTTTTTTTTTTAATTATCAATATCATGTTTCATCAATCATCTCCTTGACTTTGTTTTTTGTGGATGCCAGCCATTTCATGGTTTGTAAACGTGCCAATGGACCCTCTTATCTAAACCACATTTTCAATGGTAAAATCTCTTCCTTTGAAAAATATTGTTTATAAAAGTATTTATTAATTATACACAATAATGTTCATATATTTATTAAAATAATGTAAAATTTTAATTCCATTAAGAGAAACGTAGCAATTTTGATTTACACAACTGCACGTCTTAATATTGTATTCTTGTTGAATATCCCCACCAAATAAATAAATAAATAAATAAAAGATAAAAGTGTTGGGATAACCTTTTTTTTTTTTTTTTTTAACAAGTTAATGAGTCAAAGCCAACTGGAGAAAAGAGAGGGAGAGAGATTTAAAATAAGTAGTTGGGGTTTTGACAAGCATCAAATTTGTTTATTTAATTTTCCAAATGGTGGAGTCACAAATTCACAATGTCACATAATCTCACATTACCAATTACATACTGAAGTTAATCAGATTGTTACATTTCTTTCAATTCAGATAGACGATATAGTGTAGGTAGGGTACTAGAGTAAATTGGGGAGAATGGGTCACAATTGTACGATTTCGATTTTTTGCTTTGTTTGGTTGATAATGAAATTTATACGGAGTATTAAGAGCGTGTTTGACAGTAATTTTCGAGTAGCTTTAGCTTTTAATGCGGCTTTGACCAAATCAAAACCCTACCTTGTGCTTAATAACACATTTGAATGTTTGACAATGTAATTAGTTGAGTAGTGTTTAGGGGTGAAGATAACTTTTGAAAATTAAAGAGGTAATTGTTCGTTTATTTTTCTCCCTATACTCGGAGGTAAGTGTTAGTCAACCATTACTTTACCAAATACGTATTAATTATTTATTTTCGCAGTTAGTAGCTTGTTGACAACTAATAGTTACCCCCACAACTAACAACTAGTACCACAAGTAGCAATCACCTTTACATTTATGTTTTGCCGAACATGATGTGAAGTTCTTTGAGTGACAACAAAGTTTCATTGCTCACAAGATTAAAGCAATTTTGTACCTTAATTGCTTTAAGTTTTTGCTTGGTGGCATGCATTGGAAAATAAGTTTTTATACTTTCACGAAAACTAATAAGTTGCTTTGTATAACTCATATGAAATTGTTTTAACTTGTTTGATCGACAATAGAGATATTAAATTTCTTGTGGATTATGAATTATCGAGGAAGCTAAGGTTGGAAATACCGTTATAGAATATTTTACGTTATGTGAAATTCTAGATTCGAAAGGAAGTTGTAGTTCTTCCATTTTTTTTTTTTCATTTTCATTTTAACCAAATAACCAACAAGTGAACTAGGCATTTTCTTATTTTATTAAGGAATCTTCATATAGTAAGGTTGTGTATATAGTAAAGTAGTGAATAAAAGATTTTTTTTCTTTTTATTTAATGAATAAGTTTCTTGGACAATATAAGGTACAACGCTAATCGAATACAATAATTTTACGTGGAGTGGTAAATTAACAATGAGTAGCTTAGTTTCTTATTCCCACCTTGATTTTGCGGGTAAATGACATGGTTTTGAAATTACTTCTAATTATATACCCACTATCTTCGAATATAACGTTTCCTGTATTGCAATATTGTGAGCATAAAAGTACTTTATATATACTCCCTCTATCCCTTATTTTTTGCCCCATTTTACTTTTTACGATCTTCAAAATACATTTTCAAACGTATATATCTCCATTTCTATACGCGTAAAAATTATTAAAATTTGATATTTATAAACTATACAATGAGATGACTCTAACAAAATCCCACATTAATATATTATCACGTATAGATTAACGAAAATTCATGGTCAAACTTTTAAAAATTTGACCATATTTTTACAATGGGGCAAAAAATAAGGGACGGAGAAAGTATAGAAGTAGGAATGTGTCACGTTCAATCATTATACATCAATGTTCCAAATGTTCCTTTCCCTTTTGCTAATAATGTCAACATTCAACCCTATGTGGAGAACAAGTGTTAATATTAGTGCTAAGACTTTTTTAATTTTTTTTTTCTCGTATTCTCCTTGGAATGATAGGAGGATCGTTAAATCAAATAAAGAATATACTTCATTTAGATCCATTACTAAATTTATGAAGATGTGAAAGAAAGCGAGACGAAGAGGGTGTGGAGTAGAGGATGTGAGATTTTTAAATTTTGCGGGCATAAAAGGTTCCATTATTCTATCAAATAAAAACAAAATGAAAAATAAGAAAACTCGAATTTAGGCTCTATTCACTTCACCTTTTAAAAAAATAATATTCAATAAAAAATAATTTCAGTTCAGTAAAAATAAATTCAATTCAACAAAAATAATTTTAGTTCAGTAAAAATAGTTTAAGTTCAGTAACAATCAGTAAACCTAAAGAAGAAATATAATAGCAATTCAGTAAAAATAATTTGAGTTCAACAAAAATAATTTCAATTCAGTAAAATTAATTTCAGTCCAACAAAAATAAGTTCAACTAAAATAATTTCAGTAAAATTAATTTCAGTTCAGTAAAAATAATTAAGTTCAACAAAAATAATTTCAGTTTAATAAAAATAATTTCAATTCAACTAAAATAAGATGAAGTGAACGGGACCTTATAACTTATTTCATCTTAATCCAATACAAAGAGTCAAAGACTATTTATTAGGGTAAAGTAATCCAATAAAACAAGAGGATTGCAATAGTTTTACCATGTAAAAGTACGTGAGATAAATTTCTTAAGTCCCATAAAATCAACATCATTACTTTATAAAGAAAAAACTTGTAAGCAATGATTTTCGTAAACCATTCTGTTGAAAATCCATACTATAACACATAGGTGGTTTTGTCATTCTTTTAAAATATTAAAACCTCATACGAAAATGTCATCTTTTAAAAACTTTATATATATATATATATATATATATATATATATATATATATATATATATATATATATATTTATTTATTAATTTTTATGTATAAAGTTTTTAAAAGATGAAATTTTATGATGATGTGAGATTAAAAACTTATATTAAAAACACACGAAGAAAGTCATTTATTAAAAACTTATATTTAAGAAGAAAATTACGAGTATACTTATACTTATTTTTAACAACCAAATATTGTGTTTTACGTTATTTATGATGATGCAAGTTAAGTCGATTTCTTTTTCTTTATGTATTTGTAATAGAATTTTTATTTTTTTATTTTATTTTATTTTTTTTGACAGATGCTTAATCAATAACGGAAAGTATTACAAACTACAAAGAGACAGACTAGCTAGTCCCAAGATTACAAACATTGCAAACACTAAAAACATCATCCTTGCAATGAATTGTCGATCTGATAACTAGATTAATAGCCTTCGAACATGCGTTAGGAAATATCCATTCTTCTTCTTCTTCAAAACAAGAATACCATTGCAAAGAAAACGACACCTTTTTGACTTAGTCATCCCTTTGTCTTGATTTAAACCTGTTCAATATTCTGGACTTTTTTTTTTTACTTAATAATCTATTAGAATTGAAAGTATCAATTTGATGGCTAACTTTTACACGCATCATCTTATCTATTTTCGAGTTGGGAAAAAAGAAAAATGTAATCATTATATTATAATAATAAACACAAGCCATGGGAAACAAAATACAGTGTATTGCAATAAATTTTAAGATATTTATTACATTATATGATAATTCGATTTTCTTTTTTCCATATATGAAAGGTATTTGTATATATTTCGGCATTTTCTTACTCTTTTACATATGAATGAAGAATGTAAAGGACAATTCAAAGTGTAGATTGAAAATTTCCACTATTTACTAATTTTACTCCAACAAAACAAAATGAAACTATCATATACACCAAACTTTTACTATAATTTTCTTCTTATGGCAACATAACCGTCGGTGTTATAAATAAGCATTATTTCAAAATTATAAAATTATTGAAAAGGATACATGTTATTAATAAACATCGATGCATCAATTTTTATAATATACTATCCTATGGCTATTATATTATAGGAAATTAGAATTTAGTATTGGCTCTGTTTTTTCAAGGTTATGTGATTAAGGGTATGAGAGAGAAAATACAGAGTGTTTACTCAATATGAGAATTTTGTCATGTGATGCTCTTTTATGCATTGAAAGTACATGGTATATATATAGCAATTGTTTGCAAAATCTCTAATTCACATTTATATTCAATATATAAAACAAAATTACTAAATATCTCTTGGATCATTATCACACTTGTCTGACTTATCATACAATCATAACTATTTAGAATCAAAGCAATTAAACAATTAATATCTAAATAGTGATAAACCTAGAATGAACAAAAAGATAAATATTTCAGTTCTCAGAGTAATTTCGACACTGTTTTAGATCTTGGCTCTTCTAAAACCAAATATCCAATAGAGGATTTATCCTTTAGAGTTGATAATGAGTTGGTACCAATATCCAAACCCTTATCCACTCTTAGCCATATTTGCACACTCACTCACTAGTCATTAATTGCACCTAATTAGCAATTACCCCCCTAATAAAAAATCAACCAATAGTTAAGAAGCTTCCTCAACTTAACCAAATATCCCAAGTAGACCCCACAATACCACACATATTTTCACCACATAATCACATAGCATTACACGTGTCACAAGCTAAACCCAAGATCAAAATCTAGGTAAAAAAGAGTTCCATAGTAGAATTATCTAGACTCAACCACAACATAACATTTCTTAGTGAAACTGATAACTCCACTCTTTCTCTCTCCTCTTTTGTCCGCGGCGTTTCGTCTCTAACAACAATCACTCCCACACAAAATTCCATCATTTTCTCTCTCCTCTGTAACGACTCCATAAATTATAAAATTAAAATTAAATATTAATAAAAATTAAATCTTTTGGGGTTTTCTTTTAGTTTTGTATTTTAATTTTGGTTTTATTAATAATTCCAAAATAAGTGTGAAGAAAAAAAAAAAAGGGGGAGAAATTTAATCTCATCGAAACCCTAGAAAACCCGAAGAAGAAGAGCTAAAACCCTAGTTTTTATTTGGGGTAAGAGAGAGAAAGAGGAAATTCCGAAATCTGAGATTTTGGGTTGTGAAAGTTTCGATTTTTCTGGGGAATTTGTGTTTTTTTTGTTGATTAATTATTAATCAAATAAAAATGTCGACGGCGTCGTACGGTCGTAGTCGTAGTGGTGATAGGTTTTACAATCCGCCGGCGGTGCGACGGCAACTTCAGCTTCAACAGCAACAACAGCAGCAGCAACAGCAACAGATTGTTGTGCAACAGCAGCAGCAGAAGCAGAAACAGCAGGAAAGAGATGAGATTAGGAAAGAGAAACATCACAATCAGAATCAGAATCATAGCCACCATAATCAGGCGCAGTTGTCGGCGCAACAGCAGCAGCAGAGGCGGCAGAAATCGGGGGTGGTTGCGGTGGATGCGGGTAATCAGCCGCAGTTGGAGAAGAGAGTGAAGAGTTCGTCTTCGTTGTCGGAGAATCGAGTGGAATCTGATGATTGTGCTTCCACTGCGACTACTACGACGACACCGGGTGCTTCGGTGTCGTCGTCGTCGCATTCCACCAATTTGGATCGGTTTTTGGAGCATACTACTCCATCTGTCCCTGCTCAACACTTTTCTAAGGTATGGGATTGATTTCAATTGGATTTTGGTTGTATTTGTTAGTTGATTCCAGTTAAATTAGATCTGATTTTGTTAGGTGTTGATACAATGTGGGGTGATTTGTGAAGTTTTTATTGATCGTAGTGTGAAATTTGATTGTTAAGGGTTTTGGGTATTGTGTTCGTTGATTAATTGGGTTTTAGATTGTTTTCTGCTGCTGCTTTCTGTGTTTGTTATTAGATGGTATTTGTAGATTCAAGTGTTTGTTAGTTGAGTAATGAAAATTTGTTCTTTATGTTAGACGAGCATGAAGGGATGGAGAACTCAGGATGATGAGTTTCGACTGTACTTCGTGCTTGGCGATCTCTGGGAGTCGTTTAAGGAGTGGAGTGCGTACGGGGCAGGAGTGCCGCTTTTGTTAAATGGTAGTGACTCTGTTGTGCAGTATTATGTTCCATATTTATCGGGCATTCAGTTGTACATAGACCCATCAAAGCCCTCCCCAAGAACCAGGTCTGCTATTTATTTGATTTTTTGCTTCTTATGTCAATGCCTTTCGTTTGATATTGTGAATGTTCCGTATCAAATTGCTGTTTACTATCTAATTGGATGATTATGCATAAGTTTGTTGAGATTTGTGTGTTTAGGAAATAAAATTGCCCACTTGTCAAGTATGCCTTTTCTAGCCTTCCGCAAAAGATAATAAGCAGTAAAACATGTTTATCAGATTAGAGAATACAGAGCCTTTTGATGCGTTAAGATATGCTTATGAGTTTAAGACACTCATAATTGATAGTACTATTCTTTTGATCAACAGAATTACTTATTATGAGCAGATATGAATGGCTACATTATACTGATTATAGTGCTAACATGATCTGGAAGGAATATCAACAATTGTGAAGCATGGGTATGGGAAAGGAGATAAACAAGATGTAGTGGATATTCATGAAATAGTAGCAAAGCACTTATCTTGAACATTGATTTAAATAAATAGAAAAAAAAGATGCTTAGTATTGAGTGCTAAGTAACTCATTTTAACATGTATTAGCAACTCTCTCTTATTACAATTTTTATGCTTATCCAGCAATTTCTTTATGATCTGAAGATGAAATCTTGAAGGGAAAGGTTATGCCTGATCTATTTATTAATGTAGTGTTACACTCCGTAAAATTTAAGCCTTGAATACCACTCTTTTGTGAGGGATTTCCATTTCCAAGGGCCTTGGGACTAGATTGTATTTTCGAAGAAGTGGATCATCTGTGAATAAAAAAGCAGTTGTTGGGAAAGTTATTCTAGAGATGAGATTTACGTTGTATTCACTAACCACGAGTTATTTTAATCTTTAATTCTCACCCTCTTTCTCTTTGCAGTTTGTATGGGGTCTTTTTGTTCTTGCTTGCCTTTGGAATTATCAGTGTGCTGAAAAAAATTTAGGTTCCCATTTGAATGAGCTCGAGCAATGTATTTTTTGCCAACTGCTGATAGTTATTCAAAACTTCAATTAGATGATTAATTTTAACATTTATCTTTGAAGCCAACATTTTCACTGGTGTTTTTGTTAGTGATGAGTCTTTTACCTTTACTTAGGTTTTTACACTGGTTGAGAGCATAATGGATACGGAAGTTTCTTTGGTATAAATGTAGATGGGGTAAAATAGGGTGCATTGAATTTGAATGCACAAGGTCATTTTAGTAATTGTATGTTCAAGGATGAGGGATCTATTTTCATTTGGAAGTAACTTGGATGTCGTCATACATAAATACATAATTGTAGAAGTTATTGTATGTGTGGAAGATGATTGTAGAAGTTACTATAGTGTGGTGTAGCACTTCATTCTTTTTGGAGAACACTCATCCCATGATAAACTTGTAGATGTTCCCATTGTGAGGTGGATCACTTCATTCTTTTTGGAGCATCGATCCTTTGTCCAAGAATTCTTTTTTTGGTCTTATGAGAGCTAGGAAAGGGTTAAGCATCTCTCTCCTAATAGTTTAGCAATGTGAGAGTTGTGTAAGCTTGCCAGATAAGAAAAGATTAAAGAAGATGATGCAAATGGCTTAACATGCTTTATTGTATCAACCTGTACATAGTTGGATTTGGGACAATGCTCTCTGACCATTTTTTATTATTACAGTTCTTTTGAACAGGATAACATTTTATTCTTCTTTAAAATCTTCAAAGGATAGTTAGCGGGAGAGGTCAGAGTCGTTTTGGTTTAGTAGGAGTTGGGAGAGGGTGAAGAATGGTCATAAGTATGGAGGTGTGGTTGGCATTAGTCTTAGTTGGATGGTTGGAGAAGTAGTGGCTCTGAAGGCTAAAGGTGTGGTTGCTGCTGTGCAAGAAGGATAAGTTAAGCTAATAGGGGGAGAGGGTGTTGGCTCTCTAGGTGTCAATTTTGGTGTTTAGTAATGATGTGGCTGGTGCTCTTGGCTGACTTGGCATATGATGCTCGGAGTTGTTTTTCATGTAGAATCAAAAACTTGAAATGAATGTATTTTTTTTTTCTTTTTATTGGTGTTGTACATAGGGAAAAATTACTTTGAGTTTGTTCCTTCCATCAAACTAGGGGAAGAAGAAAGGTGAGCCAAACTCTGGAAATGTGGAGAAATACCCCTCCCTGTCTTTAGCATCTTGAGCCAAACAACTCTTAGGATTAGATGGCATAGAAGTACATTTTGTTGGGTTTTGAGGACATTTATGAAGTTGTGGACTAGTGCAAGGGCCTTTCTATGAGTTTCTCAAAATTTGATGTTCTTGTATTAAAAGTAATGCTTGGACTTCGGGAATAATGGTATACAGCTAAAAGTAACTCTTAGATTGGGAAGCATTCTGTTATTAATTAGATGCTATCTGCAGACTCTTAATAAAGTGGCATTTGGAGCAACCCTAAAGGACAAAGGAAGGATATGGTTATGAATGAAGGATATTGATGTTTAATCTATATCTATGTTCCTTGTTAGTGGGTGAACATTATATGCAGATATTGGGCCCATATTCTAAATAGAAAGGAGATGGTATGTGATGCTGATATTATTAGAAAAAGAAGACGTGATTATAAATTTTATACACACCACATCCAAGTTATAGGTTCCTTGTCTCGTAATTTTAAAAGAGGATCCTTAACTTTTTAGCTAAATTGGTGTCAAACACGTTTATGCTACAGCTAAACTCCATCTGTGTTTGATGTTAACATATGTCTATCACTCTTAGTGGAAGTGTATGGTACTTAATGACTTACTGTATTACTATGAGAGTATGAGGGGCTTTCATATGTTAATTGTCAGGTTTGTAACTTCCACAGTTAGAGCTGCTAAAGCATTAGTAGACATCATTTGACCAATCAATTAACTCTTACTGATGCAAAAGAGTTGGAGGCACTATATGGCTCTTGATTGGTGCTACCTGTGAGACAGACACCTGAGCAGCCAAGCCTAATTGCTTATCTCAGAATTTTTTATAGCTGTGGATAGGAATTTTTTTACTCTTGCAAATTTAATGTTCTGTGCTAAAGAATCTGTTTACCACCCCTCCCCCCTTCTTCCCCCAAAATTCAGAAAATTTCAGCACCTCTACAAACTGCTAAACTCCTTGTTCTTTGTTTTTTTTAACCTCTTATTATTTACATAAAAGTGTATCCCTATTCTTTAGCTTTAAACCGCTTTTGGTTGCAGATATAGTTTGATGCTTATTTTGAGTCACTTTATATGATTTGAGTCACTATATATGATTAGATGCATACTTGCATAGTATGGTTGTAGTTTGGTGGTTTCCCATCATTTATTCCACAACAAATTGAATAAAACCTTTTTTGAATTACTTTCATTTTTGAGGATATTGTTTTTAGACCAAGTCTAAGCTAGCTTGGAATGTTTATTGTGGACTATTTGGTTATTTGGTGCCTGATGCATGGGAATGTTGTAAGAATTGTCAAGGAATTCCCAAGAGGAGCCTTCAATTCTTGTACTCCCTGTGTTCTTGAATTGTTCTACCCACTTTTCATTTTTGTCCATTCATATATTTTCCACCCATCTTGCTTTATTCTATTCTAGGTATACAATAATTGCACCTTTCCACACTCTTTATTCACCTTTTTTAACACTCACCTTTTTACTTTATCCTACACCCACTCACCCTTTTCAAAATTTTCTTAAACCGTGGATCGAATAGAACATAAATAAACGGAGGTATTACTTTTTATATTGCCATTTTTATAATCATAGCTCACTTAGGCGCACTGTAAGCAGAGCTAGCACAGAGGGAGTGACTTCTTGTAAAATGTTGAATTATTCTAGATCCAACTCATGTGTTTCTTTCAGATTAGGGCATCATTTTGTGCTTCAATAAGGTCAAGATTGGTAATTTTCCAGACAGTCTGTTATTGCGTCAATTTGATCATTGTGTGTATCAAATGATTTAGCCTCAGCTAATGCTTATACCTTCAATATTCTGGGATGTAAGCTTTTCAATAACAGCTTTTCCAGTCTCCTCCAATAATCAATAACTGGAAAAGCTATAAACTTATTATTGGAGGAAATTGGAAAAGCTGATATTGATTGAGCTTGGGCTCAAATTTGCAACCTTTCTGTGTTCAAAGAATTGTAGAGCAATTCATTAATGTTTTGAGTTGTAATAAACATACAAAACAGTCTGTTACAGACCAAGCCATTTGGTTATATACATATTCAGTTTATGCTTGTTTTGAGTGTAATGTTTTCCCTGCGCACTATTTTTTGCTTACTCAAATTTTTGATAATCTTTTGAGTTTGTTGCAGAATGCCTGGGGAGGAGAGCGATGAGTCATCTAGAGAAACTTGTAGTGATGGCAGCAGCGATTGTGAAACAGAAAGAGGACCTTGCAATTTTGCTGCATGGAACCAGCAGGATCTTGCAGAGTCTACTCTACAGGATATGAAGGCACTTTCACTGAGATATAAGCCCTTCAATGGGTCATCTAGCGATGAAGGGGAATTTTCTAATTCTCCCGGTGTTCTTACCTTCGAATATTTTGAGCATGATCCTCCCTATAGTAGGGAACCATTGGCTGATAAGGTTGGTTCTTCTGCTAATATTTTGTACTATTCTTTCCCTAACTTTTAATTACTTGTTCACTTTAATTAATTTGGACTTAAATTTCTACAGATATCGCTCCTTGCATCACGTTTCCCAGAATTAAAAACATATAGGAGCTGCGATTTGTCGCCATCAAGTTGGATTTCTGTTGCTTGGTATGATTTTGCCAGTTATTTCAATTTGCATATTTTGAAATTGTAGTACGTTACTTTTTAGCTTGCGGCTTACCTGATCTTTGTATCCTTCTACTGGTTTTTTGAAAAAAGGTATCCAATATACAGAATTCCAACTGGTCCAACCCTCCAGAATTTGGATTCCTGCTTTTTGACGTTTCACTCCCTCTCAACACCTCTTCGTGGTATGTCTCAATGGTTTTTGAAACTGGTTAGTAGCATATTATTCTCTCCTACTGTGCCTGATGGGATGACATCCCCATTTTTTACAGGTGGACAGAGTGAGTGGCAAAGTCATAACAGTTCTTGTCCAAGGGAGATTCCAAATGGGGGCTTTGGTATAGGTCTTAAGATACCATTGCCTATATTCGGCATGGCTTCTTATAAGTTTAAAATCTCCGTTTGGGATCAAAATGGAGTCGATGATTCTCAGAAGGCCAATTCCCTGTTGCAAGCTGCTGATGAGTGGCTCCGGCTTCTAAATGTCAATCATCCTGATTACAGGTTTTTTGTCTCCCACAACTTTAACTGGAGATAAGTGCATGGAGCAATTATATGGACCGGTGAAAGAGTAGAGTTAATAGCTGACTCCTCTGCTCAGCTGACTATATGTATTTTAAGTTGTCGGCTGAGTATGCAGAATCCCCTCTCGCCTTTGTGTTCCTCTATCTGCAACTTTGGTTTTGCATTACTTGTATTTTCAGAGGAAGTTTTAGAAACATCAGCTTTGGTAACTTACAAGCTCTACTGGTGGAAGATGAAGTTATTCCCGTGTAATTTGCTAAATAACTTGCTGTACCAAAACTTTCTGATGTGATACAGTTGTTTGAGGATGGGATTCCTGAGAATTCTTAGGCAGGTTGAAAGTCTTAGGACTTTTGTTTGCCCTTGTATGTGACTAGGTTCTGTTTCGGAAAAATGAGTAGATATCATATGAGCAAGTTTTTATTTGTACAAATACATGCTTTGCTTGGAATGAATAGGTTTCTGGTCGCTGTTTGTGCAAGCTTTCTGGTGTTTGAGCACTAATAAAAATCCTTTCAGTTTTTAAAGGAAACTCTTAAGTCTAACTGTATAGTCTATGAACCATTATGATGGCGAGAGTGTCAACGCAAGGTAAGCACAATGGAAAAGGCTACTGCCAACGAATTGGGGCAAAATGTTTAGGGTTTAAGGTCTAATAGACCAGAATGGGAGGAAGTCTCCTACATTTGGCTAATAGTCTCCATTTTTTTGTAGAAGTGACAATTGGGTCGTTTAGATTTATTCAACGAGTTGAGTCATTATTGAGTGACGACAGATGAGTCATTTGGTTATGTTTGTGGTTGAGTAATATTCAAACTTATTGTCAATTAGCTTACTTGAAAAAGTGAACTTCAGCTAGTGCAATAATTGTAGGTAAATATTAGATCAAGACTTTTCAATTCTACATCTGGTATGCAAAGTGTGAGTAATAGTGCAGTCTGAATACTGGCCTACGAATGAACTTACATACTGGCATGAGAATGAACTTGGTCTATCCACCAAACATTTGATCTTACACTAGTTAGTAGTTACAGCCATGCTCACCAGTGTTAATAAATGGTGTTATTGAAAGAAATTATACGGAATTTTAGTGGTAATGCTATCCATCTCCAAATCTCTCCTGTCTTTCTTATATTTTTACCATAATCTCAATGTAGACATACAAGATATAACAATTTGATGATTAGGAGATCGGACGAAAGAGTGAGCGAAAAGTAGCTTTGGTTGTAGCATGCACATCCTGTAAGATGATTAGGAGATAGAAGAAAGAGTGAGTGTCTGTAAAGAGCGTGTAGAATTTACTATCATTATCGTCGTTTATTCATGTATTAATCTACTATATGAGACGATATCAATTTTGAAACAGACTTCTTGGGTGCCCGATCAAAAGGCTAAAGTTTGCTTGAAACATGCGCTAGAGTCCCCTAAAGAGTATATGGCCATACTGAAATAATGAAGCAGAACTGGATAGCATTTTGTCAATTTGTCAGATAACAGTTCGCCTCTTTTCAAATTCATCAAATGACATAACTTTTCTTTGCATTTGAGATCAACTACATTTGAAGATAGACTTGATAACTTTCCCTGAGATGATCTTTGAATCAAAATTTCCGGGCCAGCAGAGCATTGGCATGCTGATACGAGCAAAAACCACCGCCAAGTTAGCATTAGAATCATTCAAGTAACTCAATGTTTGGTTGTCTAAGAGGAGCCGTTCGGATAAATAGAACATTGTTCTTGTTCTTATTTTGAAGTTTATTATTCCCATTGTGGTACAGAATCTTTCATGGAAAAAACAACCACTAGAAGCAAGCCATAACGGGTAAGATTACATACGTTATTCCACCTTTTAAAATATTGCACTTGCATAATCCGTCTAAATACAACAAGAAATACAACATTAACTTTGAACATTACCCTGAGACCTAATGATATTCCCTCCATCTCTCTCTCTCTCTCTCTCTCTTTCACAAGTTACAACATTGTTTTCAATCCTCTTGGTTTTTCCCTTTCCCTACTAAGGCTCACAATATCTGCAATCTTGGCCATCGGCTTTACAAGATGTCATCAAGCATAGTGGAGAGCAGCAATCCTCGGACAAATTCACACTTCCTAGCCTTCTCTTCATGCTCCTTTTCAGAAAGCATAGAGTGCTGGGAACTGCATATTATGCAAATCATTAGCATTTCATAATCTCTTATAATAGACAAATACAGATTTTTAATGTAAATATTCAAAATGCATGGAAGCTCAAATGGTAATCTCATGGAATGCAGATGGAAGCTGAAAAAGAAAGATGGATTTTATAAATAATTCTTATAAATCTAATTTCATTTACTATACCTTTTTCGAATATAAATGGTCTTGCTTTCTATTTTGATCAGCCAGCTTAAATTTCAAAATACGAGTTTAAAAAGAAATTCCTCATTCATTTGCTTACAATGCCGTCCATACAAACACTTCAGAGGAGCATTGAACATCCATACATATCTTATATTCTTAATTTACTGCAGTTAATCTTTTTCATATCAGATTTACTATCACAATATTTACATCTTCCTTAATCAATGTTCAGTCAATCACAAGGTGAAGTGATTTTCCCTATGCTTAAATTCTCAAAAAAGATTTAAACCCCAAAATGAAGCGCACACAGCATGTATAACTTGACAAGGACAAGATAAATTATTATCAATTTTCATTAGCTAAATATGTTCTGGGAGAGTTCAGACTGTTCATAGTCATTCTTACAGTATAACAGCATGTTTAGTCCCCAGAAAGAATGCGCAAATAATGCATGCACAATGGCAACACAATAGCTAAGAGCAACCAAACATGTTACTTTGTCTCACTTTAATGAGATAAAGGTGGAAGGCTTGGCTAACCAATCACAAAAGGTTTTATGCAGCTACATAATGAATTATTTAATTAGAACTAAATGTGTAGCACAATACACAGTTATATGGGTCCTCCAGAGGACCTGAAATGCTTATTAAACATCTGGCAAATAATATGATGGTCTCCAAAGTTGGCGCAAGATCACAATCTAATACTAATTATGCAGAAGAAAGTCTTTTTATTTTCATCATTCATATTACAAAGAAACAGCATGATTATAGGGGCTCAAGTGTCGTATCAGGATATTTAATGGCTTTTCATTCATTATCCTTTCCCCATTTATTTGTGAAGTGGGTTTTGGGGGGGCATTGTGTTACATTATTCAGAGCATGAGCAAAAACTAATACTAATAATTATTACTTTAAATATGTATATGGCAATAAAAATTAATTCCAAGAATAAAACATCAAACGAGATGGTTTAGATTACCTTTCAATTGTTTCCTCCATAGCTTGTGGAAGTGGGCTTGTTTCCTTAGAAGAACAAGGTTCTCCCTTTCCAAGTTCTTCTGCAGAGGAAGAGCTGTATATAAGTGAGGACAAGAGAGGATCAGGGTCTGGATTGGACGAAGAAAGAGTGAAAGAGGAGCCTCCGAAAAGGGATTGCCTATTTCCTTCTCGCAATTCCTTTCTCAATATGCTAAACATTGAATTTGGAACACCCCTGCGCAACCTCCTTCTGCGCTGAACGTAATCTTCCAGTCAAGGAAACACAATAAATCACAACTTAACTTCATAAAGGGTGCTTCAAAGGAGATAACAACCAATAGCAAAGAGAATTATGTTTCTGAGAGAAAAGTGCCTCACGTCACAGAGACCTTTCATGGAACACAAAGAAAAATCAAAATCATCAATCTACAAATTAAAATTAAAAAAACAAATCAGGAAGAAAAAAAGGATATCTTCAATATATTTCCATGCTGCATTGTGATGTGACCAACCATGTCCATTCCTACCCTCTTTGCACAGACAGGGCAAACCTGCAAGAAGTAAAGCAATCATGTGCATTAATTCAGTATCAAATAAAGTCAGAACTAGTTATGAATTTAGAAGGCTACACATGTTTCACAAAGATCCTCATTATGAAATCCCTGTGAAAACTACAAGAGTAATGAAAAAATGAGTGGAACTCATCACATTTTACATCAACAATCTGTTCCCTAATAATCCATATACAAGAGAATGTAGATCAGTCTAGCAACATGTCAAGCAAAAAAAGGGGGGTTAAAGATAATTGACCAAATATTTCTCATTTACAAAAGGAGAAGGGAATTTGACCCCGTCTTGTCATTACATGCCACGGGCCAAAGAAATCTCGCAATAAATGAAATTCATGACCTCAAACATCCACCACATTGCATATCTACTAAGAAAGCAGAAAAGGAAGCATACAATTACAAGAGACAGGCAAGGGGAAACATTTGTCCAACGCATGATAATCCAAATGTTATCCATTCACTAAAGAAAAAAAGGCCTAAAGTTTTGTCATATCTATGTCACAAGACCACAAAACCCGTGACAACCTCCAGTATCAAAGATGTCACTCAGGTCATGAAGAGCTAAAATTGTATCACATCTAACACGTTTTTCATGCAAAGGCAGTATAGTATACCATAATACCAGTACATGATTACAAAAGGCTTCCCCATTTGAACTCACAGGCTAATTAACATACCTAAGATTGAAGACATATACACGGGTGGGACATCTATGCAACCCAGTTCAACTCAACACCAATGATCCAATAAGTAAATGACATCATGCTCCACAAACAGCCCATAGACCAAGCAACACAATCTCTGATTCTCACAAAACCTTACAATGAAGCCACAGCCCCAGCATGAACGAAACATACATGAAACCCCAGCAACAAAATTTTATGTAAAGGTCATAAGTTTAAGGGAGTTTTAATAAAGATGCACATGTATGGCTTAACGCAAAGCTATCGAAAGCTTCGAATCTATGATCCAATAGCTAAACTAACTTATCTGCAATGGACAAACAAGTCCCAGGTAATTAGAGGAATACACTAAACTACTAAAAAAAATTACAAATTTAGAAGCCTTAATTATAAGCTATACTATGATGCAATGTTAAGATAATTACCCCATTTTTCAACTCCACTTGATGTTCTTCATCCATATGGCAAAACAACCCCACGATATCGAACTCATCAGCACAAAATGGGCATGAAAACTCTTGTTTGTAATCATCTTCGACCTCTAAATCATCACCTCCCAAATAAGCCTCTGTTTCAAACCAAATTCCCAAAAGTTCATTTCATTAGATCATCAAATTCAGCTTAATCTCACCAACCCCAGAAAACCCTCTTCAAAATTATATCAAATAATCACAAAACCATGAAATTCAGCAACAAAAATCACCTCAATTCATCAACTTTTCCTAAAATGGATAGAAGCCCAATTTGAGAAATTAAGCAAAGCAAATAGAAAGATAAGATTTTTCACCTAATTTCTCAAATGGGTCCCCCCACAAACCCTAAAAAACTCCATCGTTTCTCACATTTCAAGGCAACTAACAAACAAAAATTGGGGATAAAATCAAAAATTGCTGAAAACCCAGAAAAAATAAGAACAACCCCAGAAATAAAAACTAACCAGATCGAAGTTGGTAACGTCTGAAAGATGATGATGATGAAGAAGAAAGACGAGAGCTCCATAGATCACCACCATCCATTTTTTGATCTTCTTCTTTCTAGATGATGATGAAGAAGATGATCAAACAATAACCCAGAAAAATTCACTTCAAATTTCTTCAGAAATTCAGATAAATTCAACAAAAAGGCACCTGCTTTGTTGAAAATTATGGGAAATTATTTCTCAAATGTTTGTGGGGGAAACCCTAAAAAATTTGTGCAAAGGAGAGAAATGAAATGTCCAGGAAATTGAGGAGGAGAGAGAATGAGCTGAGGCAACAACACTCTCTACCGACCTTCCTCTCCTTCTTGTATGAGGTACAGATAATTTTATACACTCGCTTTTTTCAAGACTATTTGCCCTTTGTTTTTGATATATTTACTCTTTTGCCATTACCTGCCTTTGCTTTTCCTACCTACATTATTTATGCAGGTGTTAATGAGGCTCTATTATATTCCATTTGCAAAAACGATAAATTATTTGTCTATAAGAGCATCCACAATGGTCGTATAGAGGTCCTTGTTTGCAATTTTTAAATAGTTAGAGTTAGTAGCTCCGTTTTGGTGAAACTAGATAACTTCCACCTAAAATTGAGTTGTCCATGTAGATGATAAATTTTTTGTGATTTATTATTTTTGCATTGATTTTTTTTTATTATTTTATTTGAAAAGTTAATAAACACGTGGAATCTGCTAAAATTACAAAAGATATTATAGATTGTCATTATGGAGGTTGTAGTAGTTTGAGAATGATAATGTGGCAATTTAAAACTAAATGTATGAGTTGAAAGTGTTGTAAAGAAAGGACCATTAAATGTGTTGCGATTAAAAAAAAAAATAGAGGGAGTAGCTTTATTTTATTTACTTCCCTGTTTCTTTTTAGATACATCACTTTTCCTTTTAATTAAAAATTAATAAATTCTCTTCTAACTCTCATATCACATTGGTCCTCTTTTTTCTTTCTTTTCATCTCTCTTATCTTCGAAATTTTATAGGATTTCGTGTTTTTGCAAATGATGCATCTAAAAAAAAGAAGTATAAAATGCATGTTGTGGCTTAATGAAGTTTTAGTGAAAGGTTAGAAATTCAAATTCCGACTCCACTAATAATTTCAGTCAATATTATTCGTCATTGTCAGCTAGTGTTTGATCATACTTAGATGGTATGCTGATATCAACATAATTCTTTATAGGCATCAACAAACACAAAATTAGTGTTTAGAATTTATTGAGAAGTGAATTGGATATCACCATTGGGTGTGAAAAACAACTCATTTTATATTTCATTATTTAAAGTTGAATCTCACCATTAGAGATGGTTAACATACTTCTTTTATCATTTTTGCTCTATCTTTTTGTATAGTGGTCTCACTTGACACTTGATAAGATGTTACATGAGACATAATGTTACTCGATTTGACTTATTATGTCTAGGTTCAAATTTATTGGTTTTTAATAAACTTATATTTTTTTTTTAACTTAATTTGTTTAAATAAGCGTTGGATTGAACTTAATATTTTCAACACAAAAGAGGTATCTACTATAAATAAACAACTTAAAATTTTAATACTTTATACAGTGTATTTTAAATTTTTTGACATAGGAACAACATGAACTTTCACGTTTGTGGAACCACCCTCATGAGGGCCATGACTACTTTCATCCCAACATGTATAAGGTGTGTAACACATTGGCGCTTGATTATTGTAATAAAAACTAAACAGTGTTATTTGATGGATTTTAATTTTGTAATTGAAAAATGAAAAGATTGACATTCTTCTAATCTCATTTAACTTGCACCGTTGAAGCAATTTTTGTGAGAGTTTTTTGTTCACAATGCTCACAATGAAACAAGTTATTTAAATGAGACGGAGGGAATATGATACGGAACAACGACGAGGATTTTATTATGGATTAATAAAGAAGATCGACATAATATGTACAAATAATATATATATTTATTTTTTAGAAGAATATGAGAGATACATTTTAGTAGCGAGGAAAATATATTGTCGAGATAATGAAATAAACAATCTATGCAACTAACCTAGCTAGGGTTTTGAAATAGGGAGTTGTCATGCGAAAAGTCTTACTTATGCAAATAAGATTTATGTGTGTGATTGCATTGCGCATAAATGGCATTTGTGGTTAATTTCCCATGCATGGAAGGTATATACAGTTTTTTGTTCACGTGGTGAATGAGCGTAAATATATATAAATGTGTAAGTATCCTCAACACATCAAAGCAATCTTAAATTGGCTTACAAATTTTAATAAAAAAAAAACTCAAAATAAGGTATACAATATATTATATCGTGTTAATCATGAAAACCTACTTTATAACCCAATTGGCATGGAATCAATGTCATTCGCATCATAAATATATGACCCTAAAAGTTTACAAGTGTGTAATAATATCCAATTTATGTTCTCCATATCTTTCATATTAATTAACGGAATTTGGGTTTGTTACATGTCTAAGTAAATTAAAGTTCATTCCAAGGCTATTACGTACGATGCCATGTAAGCTAGTTCTAATACTCTTGCCATCATTTAAGCTGTATGATGTAAATCTTGTGTTAAAACACAAACCTTAACAACCTAAAAAAGACATATCACATCTTCATATCATTAAGTCAATAGACCTTTTATACATAGGCAAGCATGAACATGTATGCGTTTCCATAACATGCACTTACCCTAAAGTATTAGCTCACGCGAATCAAATTCAAGATCAGTTTTAGCTATTTTAAAGGTCAATTGAGCGTTAAACTATTTTTTTATTTGTGGATTATGCTATTGTTAATTGTCATTATGGATTCTTTTCAGGGGAACAAGAGACCAGATTTAGATGTCTACAATCCACAGACACCCATTGTTTCTTACTCGTATCACTTATAATTCTTCTGAATAAAAAATAGCCTCTAGCTTGATTCTGAATTTGAATGGCTAACCATATAGGTGGTTCATACAATCTTCTATCACATCTCCATTTAAAATGAAGACTAGTAATCAAATTACAGATTACAACATCAGAGTAGGTGTCCTAATAAGTGTTTCCACCTTTGATACAAATAAAAGAGAGTAAGGAGTCAAGTTATCAACAATTCAACATAGCCGACCCATAAAATGTTGTTAATTTGGATAATAAATTTGAGCCTAAATTGATTTTAGAAAAATAGTTTCAAGCTTTGTACATTAGATTTAGCCATGTTTAGAACAAAGCTCGCTTTTCAAACCCAAATTTTACTAATTTGGAAACAAGGTTTTCAGTCTAGTGACTCTAGTCATAAGCCCGACTCAAAACATGCTTGATTTTTTAAAATTGGTTTGATCCTTGGAAAAAAAAAAAAACAAACTACCTAATATATACGGAGTATTAAATTTTCATATGTTGACAAATTCACAATAACAAAAATAAAAAGACAGGACGTTATCTTAAGAATCTAACTAGAATTTACGATGTTGAAGTTGAAATACATTTAGTAATCGGGGCCAGGGCCACTTTCTTTGCTTGGTTTGAGTAAGTTACACTGAATAATTACAAACAAAAGGATTAATTAAATTGAAAATGAAAAGGAAAAGGAAATGTCACATTAAAGATTCCAAAGTATATACTAGTGTATGATTGGGTATCACATTGGTTTATTATTATATGACTCAAACTTATTAAAGTAAAACCTGCTTAATTAAACAAGATTAAGGCATATTTTGATCCTTTTTTCCAATTTAATTAATTTAAGCCAAGCGGCTAAAAGAAACACCTAATTAAATGGGAGAGATTCTTTTGCTTTAATTTTTATGTATTTATGTAATTTAAGTAATGTTAGTGTACATGTACGTGATTCTTTTCATTATACTTGCACTCTCTACTTCTATTGTATCGTGATTACCCTAAAAAGACAGTATTCCATCGCTATTCTTAAGTAGTGCATGTGGAATTACCAAAAATTGATGAAGTATCATTTCAAGGCAACTACTTACGTAGTACTTTCTCCGTTATTTTTTACTTGACCCGCTTTGACTTTTACACTATTCATCATTCTTTCTTTGACCGTCTTTTGTAAATAATATGTAGGAAAAAACATATTCAAGTGAGATCTTTTTGAATTCGTCTCAATAAATACTACTTTATAATTTTTACTTATGGAGAATTAAAGTTATTAATCATTGAAGTTTTGCATTAGCAAGCGTGATAAAAGAAATTTGTCAAGTAAAAAAAACAGAGGAAGTATATGCAATTATGTAACAGGTTTATTGTATACTTGTAATCCCTTTGTTGTTTGGTTGGATTAATCGAAATCGTAAAATTGACGCATATTTTTAGAAAAGTCATATGGTGACGGAATCTTACGATATAAAGTATAGTTAATGGGGTGTATCATATGATGTATAATTTCATTATTAGTGGGAGAGATAAACGATAGCAAAAATTAGTGCAAGTGGGTTTAATAGAAAAATTTAATAATAAAAAATAATACAAAGTATGTAAGACTCCGTAAAGTAATGCAAGTTGGGTTATGTGGGAACGAAACAAATTCACCTTAAATGAATAAACGTGCATTGATATTAGACATGGCTTGATCGATTTTATTTATTCTTATTTGGTTTGTTCTGATGTAATATGAATTAACAATATTTGCTCAAAAAAAAACAAAAAGAGGAAAAGGTTTAAATAGAATATTTGTATGATTCATGTTAATAATTAAAGCTGCAGCCCAACGATTTTTATACCTCCCACCAAACACGAGGTCGTGAGTTCGAAACCCATAACTCACACTTTTTTTTTTCCTTTTTGTTAAAACAGATCCTACAGCTAAAAGGCTCTGTTTTACCACTTTCCTCCAAATTCTCAAACCGACAAACCCTAACTCCTCTAAAAGGCTCGCACAACCCAGACGCCACTGCCCCGCTGCCCGCACGTAGATCGGCGACCGCCTCACCGTTCCCGGCGCTCCGCACGCCAGAACCCAGATCGGAGTCCAGGCCCTCCACCGTGTCACCGTGAGCTGTTGCGGATTTGCGCCTTTGCGGCCTTGCGTTGCCCACTTTGCCGGTTTCCTTTAAGGCTTTAATTGTATGTCGTCTTCTATCTAGTTCTATCTGGCCTTCTGGGTTAATAATATATAAAGTTTTTGGTTTCATGATTTTTGTAGATAATTACGTGAATACGTGGTGTTTGAATGTGTGAACGTGTGATGAACTTTAGCTATCAATTTTGGGTTTTTGGGTGACTATTGTCTATTGAAAAAATGGTTGAAATTGGGGTCTTGGGGAAGGAAGTATCTGATTTACATTTACTGATTTAGGGTTTGTAGATTGTAGAAGTAGTTCATTTGTTGAATTGTTGTCTGTTGACTTGAATTAGTGTAATTTGTATAGCCTGTACTTGAATTGTTGTTTGTTGAATACTTGAATTGTTGTCTGTTGAAGTGTTGAATGTTGATTGTCGGTTGAAGTGTTGATTGTCTATTGTTTTAGAGTGTTTATCAATGATTCAATGGAGGTTGTTTTAGAATGTACTACATTGTTCTCATGTTCTGTAATTAGTGTAATCTGTACATTGTTCTTGACTTCTTGTCATGTGTTATCGTCGATGTATTGCAGAAGTCGATTAGAAGGGGATAATCAGTGCTCGGTGCTCCACTGCTCCGTCATCCACTCATCCATATTTCGTGGCTCTGTAGGTGAATAACTGAATTTTTACTTCTTAATTTCATTTATTTTACATACTATTTGTTTTGATCTTGAATGAATGAATTCTTGATAATAAATTATGATGTATTGATTTTTATTATCTAAAAAAAAATCTGAAAAAAAATTGTATGCAATTGCAAAGATATTCTTCTTCTTAGTTTGTTGTATGCCTCTATTGCCGTATGCAAAGATATTTTTCTTCTTGAATCTTGATAAATTATGATGTATTGATTTTTATTATCTAAAAAAAATCTGAAAAAATAATTTTATAGTGATTGTGTGAACTTCTGTATTGCAGTATTGCCGTATTGGTGAGTGGTTTGCTTATTGATATTTTTTGGTTTATTTCTTTCTCGTATCCATTCTTTCCAGTTTCCAGTTAGCCTATTGTTGCTGTATTGTTGCATGTTGCTGTTAATTGGCGAGTGGTTTGCCGTATTGTTGTTGTTAGCCACTTAGCCTATCATTGAAACTGGTTAAATTCGTTGAGTTACTTTTGGTCTTTACATAAATGTATGCAAATATGCAATTCGTATAATTGTATGCAAATATGCAATTCGTACGTAATTGTATGCAAATATGCAATTCATTCAATTGTAAATTATGATTCTGAACTTTCGAAATTTCGAACCCCCTATTTGGAAATCCCGGAGACGCCATTGGTATGACTGTATGAGTTGTTTTTTTTTTTGGTGAAATTTCGTGATTTTATATTGTGGGTGTTTCAGGAGAGCTGATAAATGTGATAATTTGATTGTTTTCTGTTTTAAATTTACTGGGCTCTGATTTAGCCGATTTAGCGCTTGAATGTTGTGATTTGTGAATGTGAGTTGTGGCCGGATATTTGCCTATTTGAGCCCTATTATAGATTTATAGTATTATTTCTATTTAATTGATAATAGTTGTCCAACCTACGCGGTATCTAGCAGGTTAGTGCTGACCTCCATAAGCATTGTTCCACTAGTATCCTTTCTGTATTTTAATCTGGAACCTATCCTTTTAGTATTTTAATCTGGAACCATAATGATGATAAAGATAAGGACTTTAGAGTTTAAAGATAATTAAGGGGTAGGATAAAGATAAGGACTTTAGAGTTTAAAGTACCAAATTCCATTATTCAAGCAAAATTTGTTATATTTTAAATGTATGATGCCTTTATTGATTATTTATAGGTAGTTGTTAGATCTATGATTTGTATAATCAAATTAACCTTCTTATTAGCTATTGAAAATGGTGATTTTGTTGTTCTGAGTTTGAAATTTAGTGGGGAATTGCTAATTTGGAGATTTGGGGATGAAGGGTGGACTGAAATTGAGTTTAATGGGCATTCTTTTGATGATATTATTAGTTTTAATAACCTTTGAGCGAACCCTTCTTTATGCGGTCGATGGACAATGATGGGATAACCTATTAATCAAATCCTGGATCCGCCACTGCTTACGGATAATGGTAAGGGCACTTTTGATGGTGAATTTTCAAAAGGTCGGCCACAAGCTCACGTGTCACTGTGTCGGGCTTGCATGTCAAAGCCAATTTCACTAATTTTAGTTTGCTTTGTTGTGCTAATACATACTGTGTTATAGTGCTTCTCCCAAATAAAGACGACTCACGGCCAACACGCACATTTATGTGTTGTGCCATGTCGTACTATACTTTTTCATGCTAAATTGTGTCATGCCTTGCGTCGGGCCAACCCATTCTCATCTTTATGTAGTATACTGATATTGTCAATTGTCAATATTCTACTCACTTGACTCAGCGAGAACTGAATAAGTTAGAATCCGTACGTTAATAAGGAATTGAAAATCGACCTATCTGATTATATTCAACCTGAAACTGAACTAACCCGAATTTTGTTGAACCATATATGGCCCAATTCCTTATATTAAACTAACCATAACCTATAATACCCGAATCGTTTACAACCCATGAACCGTTTAACCTTTTACCAAAATCATTAATAACTAGAAATCATTTCAACACGAGGAAAACCCAAATATATCGTCTCATTTAACTTATTCTCCATTAGACCTGTATTATACTTCATCCGTTCTTTTTTACTTGACCCGTTTTGACTTTTACACTTTTTACCAGCCCTCCTCTCTTGACCGTCTTTTGTGAATAATATGTAAGGGAAAATATATTAATGTGGGATAAATTTGAATTCGTCTTATTAAGTACTATCATAATATTTAACTTTTATAATTTTTACTTATGGAAAATTAAAGTTATTAATTGTTAATGTTTTGTATTGACAAACGTGATAGGTCAAGTAAAAAAGTAAAAAAGAACAGAGGAAGTACATACTTATTAAATTACTATTGTAAATTTGTAATGTTATAACTAGGGGTGAGCATGGGACAGGTACCCGTACCATTAACATTATCGGTTCGGGTACCTGATAACTAATAACACTAAAAATGATATCCATTAGGCGAACCAATAAGTTCGGGTACTCGGATTTTCGGTTTGGTTATCAGGTACCCAATATGATATTCAATAATAAAAATTTAGACTTTATAAAATAGTTATTATGATATCATTCAACACTAATCAACAATAATATCACATGATCATGACCAAATTACTAATAATTACTAATCATTTAAATTATGAAGTGATTATGAAGTAAAGTAAGAGTTTAAATTTTGGATAAATAGATTTAAGTAGGAAAAAAAAAAAGAAAAATTTTCTTATGGAACAGATCGGGTAACCGTTAATTTTAAAATGATACCCAATAACCGTACCCGATAATAAATTATTGGATCGGGTACCCGAACCGTTATGATTATCGAAACGAGTACCCTAATTTTCGGTTTGGTTACGGCTCGGATTTTCGGTATTTTGGATAATTTTGCGCATCCCTAGTTATAACTACATCTAGTACAATTCACTTCATAGGGCTCAGCTCGTCACGTTAAAGACACATAATTAGGCAACCACCTCATTTATTCATTGGACAGATCTGACCCATTTTAACTGGGGCGAGTCAAGGCTTTTAATGAGGCTCCAACCATTATTCTAATTGTCAATTGTCAATAAGAAAAAAAAAAACCTGGATGAACGTACCTCTCTCTCAGTTCTCCATTGAAGCGCACTTGACGTTCTCCATTGAAGCGCCTTCTAATACTTGTATTCCCCATTGAAGCAGCTTCTGAGGTAATTTGTTGTTTCTTTTTGTAATCATCATATCAATTTCACAACCTAGGGTTTATATCTTTGATCTAATTTGATTTAATCGTCAATATAGTAAATTTAAGGTTTGAACATTTAAACTTGGTTCTAATTACTAACTAGAGAAGAAAATTATTAGCCTAATCTGATAATTGAATCAAATATGCATTTTCTCCCTAAAATTACTGATCTTATAATTGAATCAATTTTTGTTGCTAATGTCTTGCAGAACGAACCCTTTAATGTTAGGATTGAACTATAAATCGAAACTATGCTTAGGGACGACCCTTTTGATTGTTATTTGATAAAAATTGAATCCAATGTGCCTTTTCTCCCTAAAATTATGTGATTTTTCGATCGTGATTTGATAATTGAATCAAATTTGATAACTACTAATGTTAGGATTGAACTATGAAATTGAATATCAATTTTTGAATGTTGGGGTATCTGTTTGTTTCTGGTGTATTCGGCTGGGTAAAAATCATTTTTCTAAGGTTTTGCTATATTTCCTCCATTTGATCTGGTAATTAGTGTTGTAGTACTACTAAGTAGTGGTGTAGTGGTAGTGCTTTGTTTCTGTGTGTTATGGGCTTTGGCGACTAAATAAGGTGATCAGACCTAATTCAGGCAGCTTTGCATTGCATATGCTGGAGTATACAGCTTCCTTAATTGCTAAAATGCTTGAGCATGACTATTAATGTATCTGAATTCCGTGATCCTGGGTCTCATGGTTGATAGCAGTTGGAGAATCTGCTTTGCATCCCTTCATTATTCGCCAGGGTTCATAACATGTAAATTTGTTATTCATACATAAAATCATTCTTAGGGGGTGTTTGGTATAAACATCTTATCTTAAAGGGAAAGGATTCAAATGAGTAGGGGAAAGGGTAATGATAAACTTTACCTTTACATATGTTTGGTATCCTAGTGGAATGGAAACAATTTGAATAAATTGTGATTGAGTAAGGAAACGTAATTTGTTTATTTCCACTAGTTTGTCAGGGTAACAATTAGAGGTTTTTGTTACCCTTCGAAAATGGTATTTGTTACTTTTAACCCATACCAAACAACTAGAAATGGAAACAATTAATTGAATCATTTTCCTACATCTAAAATTTCTATTCCAAACACCCCCTTACTGCATACAATAGAATCTTTTCACTAACTATTAGATGTATAGGTATGATCATTAACTTGCAAAAGCACCATATTGTCACGACACACATTGCCCGAAGAGCAACCTTTTGGCAGAGATTACATAATGGTCCAGACACTATAGAGGAGCTGATTGACCGGCATTTGGTGAAAGAGAAACCATCATATGACGATGATGAAAATGAGCTCTTAAATCGGCAACGACTCACCAGCACTCGACGTGAGGCATTGGGTCTGTACAGAGATATACTCCGTGCCACACGGTTCTTCATGTGGCCTGACTCTCGAGGGGTGTTGTGGCGAGATATTCTTAGAGAAAATGCTCGTAAAGAATTTGAAGAGGCTCGATTTGAGAAAGATCCTGAAGTAATAACTCGGTTGTTGATTGGTGGAAGAGATGCTGTTCAAGCTGCTCTCGACAAGCTTGCTGAGAAACAGAGAGATCAAATAGAGAAGGATCAAAGTGGCAGAAGCTAACTATGTTGAACTTTAAACCATGTATGTATGGAATATGAATCGTGAATTTGTATTGAGTTGTATTAGCTGCCATAATGTAGAATTGTGCATACTGTTACCCAGCTGAATTCTATATTAGTAAATTTTTTCTCTTGAGATGAGAACTACACAACTACACTTGCCCACCCATATTTCTCTGTACAATTTCGTTTGTATAAAATCATGTGAAATTGGCTTTGGACAAGTTAGTGGGAATGGAGGGACTTTTATTATCTCTCAAACCAAGGTCGGTATCAAAATAATATAGTGTAAGGTTTGAAATTTTTAAGCTAGGTCCGGTCTGATCTTGCTTGTGTAGTTGAGGAAATTTTACACAAAATCTGAACCTTAAAAACTCAAACAGAGACGTGGCTAGGAGGGAAGTCAAGAAACCAGAAAAAGAAGTGTACGAACAAGATAATTTTCTAAAAAAAAAAAATAGGAAAAATTGCCCGGAATAATCCCACTTTTGGGGCATCCGTCCAAAATAATCCTAGCTTTGGGTTATTTTTATATAATCCGACCTTTATACTCAATTTGCTCAAAATGGTTCCAAGTGACCTATAAATGGTTGAGTAGGTAAATTTTTTTTATTAAGTTTAATTTACACGTGTCTCCACGTGATTGGTCGAAAAATAAGTTTTTAATTTTAATTTTGTTTTAAGAGATGATAATTAGTAATTAACATTAATTAATTAACTATTTTAAATCATTTTCAAAAAAAAAAAAAAACTAAAATTCAAACCAGAACTTGAGTCTAATAGATCAAATACTGAAATGCTATTAGTATATTACCGAGTAGGATAATCTAGTACACTGTTAATCTGTTATGCAACTATACTAAATTGAACAATTGCTCATATAATCATATTAGTCAATCACTCATGTAGTCATATCTAATTAAGTAATTTGTATTTATGTACTAATCTACTAGTCAATTCTATCATTTATAAGTTTACACGATTACAAGTGTATTGCTTACAGACACAACTAAACTGATATAAATATAATCATATAACAAATCCGTAGTACTTCTAACTCTCTAAGATATGACGTCATTATATTATTATATGGTCTTCGATTTTTTATTAATCGCAACGCTAGACATTTTTATGTTAACCGATTCACATTTTATAATTTAAATAACCTTTCTTTATTTTTTTGATCTCCAGTTCTCCATCTTCAAATCTTCCTCCTCTTCAAGCCGTCAAAGCTCAAAGGTAATTTTCTGTTTGTTTTTTTTTTTTTTTTTTTTTTTTTCATTTCAGTTTTTTGTTGTTGATTTGTTGTTTGACGGGATTTGCACGTCTTTATTTTTATTTTTAGTTCTGATTTATATTGTTGTTTTTTGATGAGCAGCGGGAGGGGTGATGAAAAGCAAAGAAATATTGGGTAAAGAGCAATTACTCAGAAATTCACCGAATATCTCTTTTGAGCTGAGGAGATTCAAATGGTTCTCGACAAAGGAGGAGGTGCTGGGCCTGCTTCTAATGGCGTCGATGTGGTTGTTGCTGCCCGGCCGAAGGCGAAGTTGATGGTTGGGAGGGAGTAAGGATGGCGAGGATGCTGATCAAGCAGGCTAAGTTGTGGTCCAGGCTTAATTCGGTGATCATTAGAGAAAGGCCTAATGTAAAGTGTAGTGATGTTGCTGGGTTGGAGAGTGCCAAGCAAGCCGTTTATGTTTCCTCAGTTTTTCACCGGTTAGTTTGTCACTTTTTTATTTTATTTTCACAATTTGATTTTGCAATTTGTTTGAGAATTGTTGGTTTTGGTATTGAACTTTTGGTTTTTGATATTTGATGTTTAGGAAAGTATGGTGATTTGGGGTTTATTCTCTTTAATTTAAATGCTTTGATGAACTTGGTCAAATATATGATAATGTAGAAGTTAGAATTTGAAGGTTGGAATCTTCTTTTCTTTGGAGTTTTTCATAAGGTTTGAGGCTATTGTATAATTTTTTTTGCTTTGGTAGTTAAGTTATGGTAATTTTGGGAAGTAGGAAAATATTAACTTATTCTGTTTGCTTGGTGTAGGACAATTTGAATTGCTCCTTTGGTGCTTAATGCCCTCAAACTGATAAATGATACATCTGAAGTTAAGTTGCAGAGGGTGATCGAGGACTCCGATGCTTTGTTCAAAATGCCCAAGTTGCTGGAGAAGGTTGGGAGAAGGCCTAGAGAGGGCGCGGCAGCAAGGGGAGAGGCTTCCCAAAATTCTGGAGATGCCTTGGAGATGGTCTATAGAGGCCTCTCCAGACAAGGCCGCAGGTGCGGCGTTTAGAGGAGAAGGCGCGACGAATTTAGATTATGAGTTTTAATCTTTATTTTGTAATCTTGTTTTCCTAGATTGTAATTTACTAATTTAGATTATGAGTTTAATGGCCTAGTGTGCGGGAGTGATCTAGGTTGTTAGGCAATTTTCCAATTCTATCTACTTGACTAATTAAACTATCAATAGTGTTTGTTTGCGATTGATTAATGCTAGTATAGAGATGTGTATGGTTAATTCTAAATGATTTGGATGTGCTCATTGAGGTGTGTTTAATGCTTGCTTTCACTTTGCTAATTGAATGCATGATCTAATTAATTAATAAACATATGCGCATAATAATTATGTTTTAAATAAAAGAAAAAATAAAACACATATGTGCATACTTAGATTTCATTTAAAATACCTTTTAACTTGGTTTTAATCTTTTCTTTATAGTAAGTGGTTTGTAAACAGTTCGATTTATAAGCGGTTCGGTTTATAATTAGTTTGGTTTATAAAGGGTTTGGTGCAAACGAGTTGCAGTTTGTTAACGGTTCGGTGTAAACAGTTTTTATGTCAGCTCAAACGGTTTCGGGTTAGAAACAGTTCGATTCATTTTCGGTTCGGTTTAGATTTGGTTCGGTTCTTAAATGGTTTAACATTACTCGAATCGATTCGGTTTCGGGTTTATTAAAATACGGTTCAGGTCGGTTTTCGGTTTCAAAAAATCGGTTTTTAATCGGTTCGGTTCTCATTCGGATCGGTTTGAACCAGTTAGGTTTCACCAGTTCGATTCGGTTTTTGACAGTACTACTTATAATTTAAACTAAAAGCTGTAGGTTCAAATCTTATAAGAACCACATGAATTGAAAATCGGATTTAAATGAGAGAGTTGCCACATGGCTTAAAAACAATAAACATGGATTTCCTCCCCTCCTATATTATTCTCCATATCTTCAAGAATAAGTCTTGTGTACAACGGGTGTACATGAATTTTATTGTAAAATGATTAATTTGAGCGTAACTTTAACTATTTTTATGGTAACTTTAACCACTTAAAGGGTAACTTTTAATTTATCGTTGGTTTGAATTTTATTTTAATGTGTAATTTCTTATAGATACGTGGTTACATACTATAAAGACTAATATGATTAATCTAATACATTATAAGTTTTTTTGTAAGATAAAATTTATTAATAGAAAAATAATAACTTTTCCAGTATAAAGGGTAACTAAGTACTTTTAACATAACTTGAACCCGTTTTCCAATAAACTAGATGAAAGCCCGTACGATGCACGGTTTTTTCATCTAAGATTTTTAATTATTTGATTTATTGTATTTAATAATTTCAGATAAAATTACAAAAGTTTAATATTTATTTTTTTACAGTAATTTATAATAAATTTATTAAATATAAATAAATTGTAAATATGATATTTTTTCTGTTATATAAAGTCTTTAATGTGAAATCATAAATTTTTAATAACTTAAATCCTAAATCATTATTCATTGTTTTACCATATCTTTTATTTCGATAAAATCACCAACCTTATCCACAACCAACCTACTACATCAATGGATAAATTGAATCGTGAAATGGTAGCCAAACTCAAATTGATATAAATTAAATCTTTACATTCATATAAAATAAATCAACATATTTACTAATAAATGAAAAATTGTTGCGATATAAAATCAAATCTATGCATTGGAATTATTTCACCATCTCCAAAAATAACCAAAGCCATCCATATATTAAGTATACAACATCTAATCGTATGCCATTACATAAACAATAATCATTCAATATCCTAAATAAATACAATGTAACTAATAATTACAAATATAAATTTAAACATAAGATTTTAAAATTAACCTGACATCGATGACCTAAAACTAACATAAAATTACTAACACAAAATTCGTTTGATGGGGGTTTTGTATTGATACGAAATTTTATTTGTGTCGTATGATGTGTTCTGCATGTAAAAAAATATTTAGTAAATAAAACATAAACGTATAATCGTTGAGTATCCCAATTTAATACAATATAAGTAATAATTAGAAAAACTAATTTAAACCTAGGATTTTAAAAATTAAGCTAAAAATTACCCGGCCATTGATGACCAAAAATTAACACAAAATTCTCTTGATGGGGTTTTTTATTGATACGAAATTTTGTTTGTGTCGTATGATATGTCAATTATAATGGTAGGTATCAAAAATTTTAATTTAATTATAATTAACGAATAATTTGTATTTCTTATCATAAATACTATCAAAATTTCTTATAATGATAGGTATCAAACTTTATTAGAAGTGTTTATCATTTAAATGTTTTTTAGTATTTTTTTTTTGGATTTCTTATACTCGTAGTATTGAATTAATAAATTTGTTTTTTCCTATATTTTTACTTTTTTTTTAATTCGTGGATTATAATCTATGTGGCATTAAAATTTTAGATATATCAAATCTAATTCGTTACTTTTATCCAGGTGGTGATATAGTTTTTTAATTCTAAAATAAAATACAAATAATTCTTCTTATTGGTCAAAATAAGTATATTTCTTACGTGGCGCTTCGAATGGTCTTGTGTTATATATGCATGTAAAAAATTATTTAGTAAATAAAACATAAAAATATAATCGTTGAGTATCCCAATTTAATACAATATAAGTAATAATTAGATAAACTAATTTAAACCTAGGTTTTTAAAAATTAAGCTAAAAATTACCCGACCATTGATGACCAAAAATTAACACAAAATTCTCTTGATAGGGTTTTTTATTGATACGAAATTTTATTTGTGTCGTATGATGTGTCAATTTATAATGGTAGGTAACAAAAAATTTAATTTAATTATAATTAACAAACAAATTGTATTTCTTATCATAGATACTATCAAAATTTCTTATAATGATAGGTATCAAACTTTATTATAAGCGTTTATCATTTAAATATTTTTTAGTATATTTTTTTGGATTTCTTATACTCGTAGTATTGAATTAATAAATTTATCTTTTCCTATATTTTTACTTTATTTTTTTCTTTAAAATAATTTAATTTGTGGATTATAATCTACGTGGCATTAAAATTTTAAATATATCAAATCTAATTCGTTACTTTTATCTAGGTGGCGATATAGTTTTTTAATTCTAAAATAAAATACAATCTTTCTTCTTATTGGTCAAAATAAGTATATTTCTTACGTGACACTTCGAATGCTCGAAAAATGCCTACTTTATTAATATATACTAGGTGAAAGCCCGTGTGATGCACGATTTTTATACATAAAATATTAAAATCACACAAAAAATAATTTATGTAATTAGATCATACTCATAACATTTTGATTAATTTGCTATTGTTTGTTAAGGATAATTTTTTTAATTAATTTATGTAATTTATTCCCCATTATAAATAACTTTATAAGAACATTAATAAAATAACAAAAAATATTAGATACACATAAATATAGATAAGAATCATTATTAAAAAATAATAAAAACATGTATTCTATTATTTATCTTTATTCGATTGAATCACCAATTCATTCATAACCATATCTACTGCGTCTAATAAAAGTGGATAAATTCAACACAAAAATGTTAGCAAAAGTAAAATTCATATGAAATTAATTTTTACAATTTTATAAAATAAATCAATATATTTACTCAGAATTGAAAAATTGTTGCAAAATTGATCTAAAAATTGTAATTGTACAAAATCAAATCTATGCATTGAAAGTTTTTTTATACATAAAATATCAAAACCACACAAAAAAATAATTTATGTAATTAGATCATACTCATAACATTTTGATTAGTTTGCTATTGTTTGTTAAGGATAATTTTTTTATTAATTTATGTAATTTATTCCCCATAATAAATATTTTGATAAGAACATTAAAAAAAATAACAAAAAATATTAGATGCACATAAATATAGATAAGAATCATTATTAAAAAAATAATAAAAATATGTATTTCATTATTTATCTTCTATTTCGATTGAATCACCCATTTCATTCACAACCATGTCTACTCCATCTAATAAAAGTGGATAAATTGAACACAAAAATGTTAGCAAAAATAAAATTGATATAAAATTAATCTTTAAAATTTTATAAAATAAATCAATATATTTACCCAGGAGTGAAAAATTGTTGCAAAATTGATCTAAAAATTGTAATTGTACAAAATCAAATCTATGCATTGAAAGTTTTTTTAAGGAGTAAACTTTTAGTTCAATAAATTTTGGACGAAAGTGTTGAACAGAGTTGGCTTTAATCGAGTCATAAAATTATAGTAATCACCCTCTAATTAAAAATTAAAAAATTAAGTTAATTGAATGACTTGATTAAGCTACTTCAATCACAAAAATTTTGTTTTAATCATAATATTTATTAATAAAAACTAAAAAGGTAAATTTAATAAATGTAAACAATTTATAAAGATATAATACTTCCGTTCAATAGGACCATATCCAAACTTATTAAGCTATCTTGTTTGCGAAAGGTAAGTATGTCAAATAGGCGAACACGAAACTCGTATTTTGATTTTTCAATCATTTTTGCTCGAATTTAATTCTCTAATTAAATTAGATCTATATAACAAAATTATGTAAACAAAACATAAATATATAATCGTTAACTATCCCAAATAAACACAATGTAAGCAATCGTTACAAATATAGATTTAAACATGGATTTTAAAAATTAAGCTAAGAATTACCCATCCATTGATGACCTTAAACTGACACAAAATTACTAACACAAAATTAAGCTAACACTTGGTTTTGTACTTTGACACGAAGTTTTGTTGGTGTCATATGATGCGTTAATTTATAATGGTACGCATCACAAATTTTAATTTCATTATAATTAAGGAATAAATTTTACTTAATTATCATAAACACTATGTATGAAAATTTATCTTAATGATAGATATCAAACTTTATTGTAGTCGTTTTATCTTTTAAATATAATATTATTTCTGATATGATTTTATTTAATTAGTAAATATCTTTTTTGAGCTTTATCCTTTTATATATATTTTTTTGATTTGTTATAAACGTACTAATGATTTAATAAATTTCTCTTTTCCTACATTTTTTACCATTAATTTATAAAATTTATTCTTGGTTTTTAATCTACGTGGCACTAAAATTTTAGATTTATCAAATCTAATTCGTTACTTTTATTTAGGTGGCGACATAATTTTTTAATTCAAAAATAAAATATGAATCTACTTTTTAATTGGTCGAATAAGTATATTTCATACATGACTCTCCGAATGCTCTTGAAAAATGCCTAGACTACTTTATTTATATATATTAGATTAGATTAGATTAGATTAGATTAACGTATACCTGCCTTTTTGGAGAATTTGTGTATCTTACATAATCAAATAACAAACAAACAAATCTATTCAAAATTACAAATTGCAAATATTTTGTGAGATATCCAATTACGCCGAACGACTCCTGTTTTTCTCTCTCTATTAAAGCTATCAGGAAATCACCATTAAAGTTCACCTACAAATCATATTCATATCTCAACCTTGAAGCTCCACCATTGTTCTCTCTTCATCTCTCAGATTCTTTTATGTAATTCCCTCTCCTTTTAATTCTTAAACTTTTCATTTTATTTCTAAATTCATCATTCAGTTTATAATGCCTTTCAGTTAATTTCAATTTGCGATTTCATTCAACATTTTCTTGAATTTTTTGTATACTATATGATTAAACCCTAGTATAAGTTATAATTGTATGTCGTAATGTATATTGATTATTGTGTATCACATCATCTTTCTTGGTTTAAAGACAGTATTTGGGCCTTACTTTGGTAAAGGTTGAGATCTTTGAATTTGATTACCATATATCATGTTTTCTACGTAGTATTTCATTTGACAACGAAAACTCGAAACACTCAAGAGTCAAGACCCTCTTGTTTAGATTACTTTCTGCCTGTTGTAGCTGATTTGCAAATTGGGGCTTCTGCAATAGCGTTATCAAAGATAATATTCTAGTGTAGGAGCTGCTCGTTTGCCAGACATATCATCATGATATTTTAGTCTAGGTTTACATTGTATCTTCATGGTCAAGCTTCTGCTTGTTCTGACATTTAATGTTGAAAACTAGATACAATGATATCGAATTCTTCTTCTATTTACTTGGCTCTTTTGCTTATAGTATCATGCTTCTGTTTTCTGATTTGTTTATCACGGGGGCATGGTAAAAATGGGCAAAACCGCTACTTGAAGTAGCAGTTTATCCCAAAACTTGTTTTAAATGTATGATGCCAAATTCCATTATTCAAGCAAAATTTGTTATATTTTAAATGTATGATGCCTTTATTGATTATTTATAGGTAGTTGTTAGATCTATGATTTGTATAATCAAATTAACCTTCTTATTAGCTATTGAAAATGGTGATTTTGTTGTTCAGGGTTTGAAATTTAGTGGGGAATTGCTAATTTGGAGATTTGGGGATGAAGGGTGGACTGAAATTGAGGTTAATGGGCGTTCTTTTGATGATATTATTAGTTTTAATAACCTTGAGAGAATCCTTCTTTATGCGGTCGATGGAGAATGATGAGACAACCTTTTAATCAAATCCTGGAACCGCGACTGGATGTAGTGAACACAACCTAAACGATAATGCTTAGAAATAAAAAGGGTTTAATGACAAAGATAGGTCGATGTTTATAACTTATAAGAAAGTTCCATGTAATTAACTATGTATTTTGAAAATAAAGAAAGAGTGACATGTGTACTTATAATGTTATCTATATGCATACAGCTAATTAGTGAATAATTGACATTTGTTTAGATAATAAACTTAGTTTAAGAACTTACGAGTTAAATTATGAATTATCTATGTAGTTGAGCAAGTTCGCCGGCGCACGTAATTTTTCTTATTTTTTTTTTTTTTAATATCAAAGATGATTAACAAGAAAAATACATGCCATCACTTACATAGTACGGACAATTTTTATTGTACTTATTTAATAAACATGATTATTAAATTAATTACTGTAATTTTCATTGAATTAGTCAAGTACTTTCAACAATTTTTTTTTTCTCAATATTACCCAAACCACATGATCATTACTTTAATTGATGAAGGAAACTCTTTCTTGGCGTTAGTTGTTCTAATTATATTTTTATTTTCATTGAGTAGCTTAGGGGGGAGTTTCATGCATGTTATTTTCAATTTTTCATAGAGTATAATTTCAAGCTCTATTATTTACTTCTTATAAATTACTTATTGATCTCAAATGAATTTTTAACTTAATAGTATAGATTAAATAATTGTACAATGACAAACATATAGAGGCATAGAGTTGTTAGTGGAGAAAAGTAATTAGAACATGCATGGATTTATAACTAAGGCTCGTAGAAAGGGGAAAACGATAAACATAATAAACGAATGAAGTACTATATATTAGGGATTTGGCTTAACTAAAATTCTTAGGTTTTCTTGTAAGAAAATGGAATTGCAATTTACAATATTTTTTAGATTTATCGTAGGGAAGGAATATTTTCTACAAAAAAAAAAAAAAAAAAAAAAAGAAGATGTTTTTAGTAAATTTTCCTACTATATTTTTGGGATTTTGTAAATATAACATTGTCTTTTTTCGACTCTAGAAGTTTGAATTAAATTGAAATACGGAGTATAATTTTCAGAAAATAATATTATTAAAAAAAATGAAGATACACGTGTCAAGATGGGGCAAAGTACAAAGGATTGAAGCGAAACTGAACGAAGAGAAGTAACAGACTTGAGCCAAAACATACGAGATAACCTTCACGAGAATCAACGAGGTCTGGCCAAAAAAAAGGCTTTGTTTTGTTTTCTTTTGTATTTTTATTTTATTAAAAAACAAATAATAATAATAACAATATTAAAAAAAATCCTGTTATATGTAATTATTAAAATGAAAAGTAGAAATTACTGGAAGCTTTTTCTCCTGGAAAACCCAAAAAGTGGTGAATCAAAAGCTTAAAAAGTTTATATCCATTTGAATATTTGATATTATAAAACAAAGTGTGGGTGTGGCTAGCCACGTACCATATGCAAAGACCTATTCTTACTACTCACTAGTCACCACTAGTCTACTACTATATCTAATTATCTATATGTAATTTTTTGAATACCCTATAATTTTGATTTTTGATTTTGATTAGAGTTAGGTTTTTTACTTTTAAAAAAATATATTATATTTTTTATTTTCCTTAAATAAAAACTTTAGTTGGGTTTTGTTAGAAATTTAGAATTCATTCCTTGAGGGTTGTATTTTGCTTGTTTGATTTTTTTTTTTTAAAGTTTCCAATGCACCATCTTATTACTAAATGTTATTTCGATAGAGATGATTTTTGTTAAATGTGATTTAAAATACACGGACAAAAAAAATGTCATAAAAGTGAGTGTTTTATTTAAATTGCTTACTATAAATGCATTAAATGTTTAATGATTCATTAAGATCATACTAATAAATTGTTTTGCATGGAGAGGTAATATGCATGGCATGGATGAGTGTTTTACAACCTCAATAAATGTCAATAATTCGATTCATACTACCTCCGTATAATATTAGTTGCAATTTTGAAATATTTTATATCTAACAAATAATACCCCAAAGTTGCAACTAATTAATATTTAACAGAGGTAGTAGATACTTTTCAATTCATGGCAACAATAATGCCTTGGTTTTTTTTTTATTTTTTTTATTTTTTAATTGTTATATAGATAATACTAGTTAAATGTTGTTTTATTTCTTTGAAAGGTCATATTTTTAACGGAGTTTATGGATATTTTACACTTTTAAAAGAAATACCAGTTTCAGTACTCCTTGATAGTTTAAAAGAAAGTACTATGAATCTTTATATCCCTTTTATTTTATAGGTCAAACTTTAAAGTAGGTACAAAAATCTTGAATTATATGAGGCGACTCTAAACTCCGTTTCTAATAATTATGAATACAAACAAGGAATGTAAATTTTTACGTTTCTAATGAGTAGTTTTATAAATTTTTCCATAATAAAAGATAAGATATATCTTATGAAAATTAACGCAAACAGAGTTAGAGGAAGTAAGTTAACCAAGTCAACTAGCCAGTGGACCGTCTAAGCATCTAGTGACCATTATCTCCAAGAATTATGGCAAAACTCGATATTATAGTAGTTAAAACAAAGCTTAAATTTCAAAATCTTCGTAATGCTGAATCCAAATTCCGCATGCTTATTAATTACTTAAAAATCACCAACCACAAGTTTTTAAAAACAAATACTATTAATCAATTCAAACTTAAAATTTACACCTAAACAATATATCCAAACACAATTAAACCACGATTCTGCCTTCAATTGGCATGATCTTCAGCCAATTACAACCTCTTTAATTAAAGGTATTAGCTTCTAATTACATTTATCATTCCACTTCCACAATAAACATTACCATGTTGAGTAGTAAGTCACCTTTTGGTAATTTTCATGATCTCAAATTTCAAACTTTAAAACCCATGTGAGAGTGAATTATTAAGGGGATGAATTATTAGTATCTCATTAAAATGGGAAACTTTAGATATTTTCAGCTCATATTACAGCAAGTTGCTAGATAAGATAGTCGGCAAATTAATTTTCTTACAAAATTACTTCAATTTTTTTTTTTATTTTTCCAATTGGTAAATATTTTTAATTTCTTGAATAAACCTATAAAAACCTCACTTTCACAACTAGTGAGATGAGATTTATTATTTTAGTACCGTATGTTTGTGAGCTGGATCCACACTCATCAAACAGACCCACTTTGTAATAAAATAATCAAACCATTTTTTTTTTTTTTTTTTTGTTGATGTTGATTTTACCCAGAAGTATTGAATTGCAGAAAGCCATGTCTTCAACCTCAAATTTTTTAATTTTTAATTAATATAAAAAAAACCCATCAATTTTATTCCTTCTTGCTTTTATCCCTCTTTCACTTTCTCTCTCTTCAACCTCACTTTCTCTCTCCTCCCCTTTTCTCCTCTCTCAATATTTCGGGAAGATCTCAACTTGGGTCCGTTCAATTTTCTGAATTTGGAACTGGGTCTCAAATATTTTCTCTTAAATCCACCAAAAATCCAGTCTTACACCTAGTCAAAATCAGTAAAAATTCAATAGAATCTTATACTTTCATTTCTAATTTTTTTTTTTATTTTTTTTATTTTTCTCTTCTGTATCTTCTAGATTCCATTTGAAGTTACAATTTTTCAACTGGATTTGTGTTTAATTTTAATTAAATTCATGCTTAGTTTACTTTCTTCATAAATTTGATCTTATTTTTACAATTTCTTGGGTTTTTAGAATTTAATTTTTGGTGGGTCAAACCCACTTCTTTTGGGTATTTTTAATAAAATTTTAGATGAGATGAATTTGGGTGGTGGATTAATGGGATCCATGGCTATGACTAGTTCTACAATTAGCCGGAAATCGTCGGAAGTTGTTACCGCCGACCAATTTCCGGTGGGTCTCCGAGTACTTGTGGTTGATGATGATCCAACTTGCCTTACCATCTTAGAGAAGATGCTACGAACTTGTCGGTATGAAGGTAAAAAAACAAAAAAGAAATAAATTATCTTTTATTTTTTTTACCGTGTATAATTTTTTTTCAGTTATTGGGTTGTATTTTTTGTTGATCTAATTGTTATTTTTGTTGATTTTTTGTTTGTATTTTTCATTTTTGTTGTTAATTTAATGTTTAGAATTATATTTTTTGGCGGGTTAATTAGGTTTGTGATTTGATTTATTTGTTTTGTGTGATTGACTTTTGGTTAATGGATTTTTAGTTGAAGATATTGGTTTTTAGATGTGGTAAAATGAATGATTAATTCATTTTAGTTATATGTATTAAGTAATTGATAAATTTGGATGATGGATATATATTGACTTGTTTTTTGTATGAGGAAGAAGTATGCCGGATTTGTTGGTTGATTTTTGAGGATTATTATCATTTTTCTTTTAATCATTTGGTCCTGAATTAGGGTTGTTTGAAAGGTTTGACTTGTAGATAGTTTGGATGTGTTTTTATGTTTCAACGGTTTCGGGTTTTTGGATCATAGATTAGTTAATTTTCCCTTGATTTGCTAATTGAATTGCGGAAAATTCTGTCTTTTTCAGTTACCAAGGCAAATAAAGCCGAGTATGCCTTAAACATGCTCCGTGAGAACAAAAACGGGTTTGATGTCGTTATAAGCGATGTGCATATGCCTGATATGGATGGGTTTAAACTCCTTGAGCAAGTTGGTTTGGAAATGGATCTACCAGTTATCAGTAAGTTTTGAAAGATTAGTGCTATTTATCTAAGTTGATGCTCTATCCTTAATTTCTGGTTTGATTTCACAAATTTTTGTACTAATATTTGCGATGAAACAGTGATGTCGGCGGATGATAGCAAACAAGTTGTCATGAAGGGAGTTACTCATGGAGCTTGCGATTATTTGATCAAACCTGTGCGAATTGAGGCACTTAAAAACATATGGCAGCATGTGGTGAGGAAGAAGAAGTATGAATATAAAGACGTTGAGCAGTCGGGTAGCTGGGATGAAGGGGATCGACAGCTAAAACATGATGATGCAGTCTCATCCCCCGCTAATGATGGTAGTTGGAAGAATTCAAAGAGGAAAAGTGGCGAGGATGACGAGGCTGATGATAAAGATGATACAACTACACTCAAGAAACCTCGGGTGGTTTGGTCAGTTGAGCTTCACCAACAGTTCGTGGCTGCTGTTAACCAGCTCGGCATTGACAGTATGAACCCCTTTTATATAATTGCACTTATTTAGTTTCCATATGCAAGCAAATCTGCATTGATCTTCAGGAAATGGGCCTTGCTTAAGCAGCTGACAACAGTCATATTATAGTAATTCTAGTTCATGATTATTTCAGGCATCCGACAATATTGGAAGTAAATGTGTATGCTCATACATATGATTTTGTTTTGTGACAATCTAGAGCAAGTTAATATGTTTGAGGAAAAATTAAAACAAAACTGAACGGATGAAGGTGTGCTTGACTATATATGTACGTTGCACAAATATTAAGGTCCAACAAAGTTCTAGGTTCTCTAGTTACATCTCTTTGTTGTCATATGAATATGTTTTTATCCAAATCACCTCTGACAGAATGTTTTGTTCAAGGCTAAAGCCGAAGTGTGTGAATTGTTTGAACTTTGAAAGTTAAAATTTCTAGTATTGTTATTTTGGCATCTAATCTGCTGAGCTTGGTCACAGTTCGATTGCCACACCCCGTCTGGATGAAAGGTGAAAAAAATATTAAGTTTGGTATTCATTTTTGCCTAAATAAGGGGAAAGAGAGGAAAATATTAAGTATTTAATGTCCCATTTGAAAAGAGAGTTTGTTGTTTTGTCTCTCTGCTGTAGTTAAAAATTTCTATGAACCATGCCTAGTGAACACTTGTCATATATATATATATATATATATATATATATATATATATATATATATATATATATATATATATATATATATATTTTTTTTTCCAGATATAGTATGTTTCTGCTCCCAGCTTATGTTTTCTGTTATCTGATTGTATTCAGAAGCTGTTCCAAAGAAAATTTTGGAGCTGATGAATGTTCCCGGGCTTACAAGAGAAAATGTTGCTAGCCATCTTCAGGTATCAATTTTTTTTTTCAAAGTCAATGGTAACGAACAAAAAATGTAACTGCCAACTCCTTTCTTGTTTCCTTCTATCTGGACTCAAAACTTGTGCTGCCTGATGCAGAAATACCGCTTGTATCTGAGAAGGCTGAGTGGAGTATCACAGCATCAAGGTGGCTTAAACAGCTCATTTATGCCCCAAGACCCAACTTTCAGCACGATGTCATCCCTGGGAGGTATTGATCTCCAAACTCTTGCGGCCACTGGTCAACTTTCAGCACAGACCCTAGCTGCATACACAAGACTCCCTCCAACTATTAAACCTGGCATTTCGATGCCATTTGTTGACCAGAGAAACCTGTTTAGCTTTGAAAACTCCAAATTAAGATATGGAGATGGACAGCAATCGCAAATTAGCAATGTTAGTAAGCAAATGAACCTGCTGCACGGGATCCCGACAACCATGGAACCAAAGCAACTTGCAGGCTTGAATCAATCTGCACAAACCCTTGGGAGCATGAACATGCAAGCTAATGCTTCTAGTAGCCATCAGAGTAGCTCTTTATTGATGCAGCAGATGGTCCCACAACAAAGGGGACACATTTCAAATGAAAGTATCAGTAGTCAAGTTCCGCGGATTCAACCCTCAGTAGGGCAGCCATTGCAGTCAAATGGGAATGCTAATGCAGTTCTATCTAGAAATGGTATGCCCTATGACCCTGTTAATCAGTCTGCCTCAGTGGTAGATTTCTCTGTGAACCATATCCCCGAATTACCCGGTAATAGTTTTCCATTAGGGAGTACCCCAGGTATAACATCCATCACTTCCAAGGGCTTTAATCAAGAGGAAATTAGCTCTGATATTAAAGTATCAAGAGGATTTGTTGGGAGTTATGATATGTTCAGCGAGATTCACCATAAGCCTCAAGAATGGCAGATGCAGAATCCTAACATGGGCTTTGCAGGGTCTTCCCAACATGTACCATCTGTGCAAAGTGGTGTAAATGTAGCACCCTCAATTATGGTGAATCAGTCTTATGTCTCTGGTCAGAAGAATGAACAGAATGGACATTCCATTGCCGGGAAGCCAATGTATTCAACCGGATTAGAAAATCAACATGTGGGAATGCAGAACGTTAATCAAAATTACAACAGTATACATGCTAACAATTCTTCAAGGGTAAAGGCGGAAACATTTTCTGATGTGGTGAACCCAGGGGCTAACCTTTTCGACTATAGTTCGGATGACATGTTGAGTACCATAATGCTGAAGCAGGTAAGGAATAGGTCTTAGTTATGCTTTTTTTTTTTTTTTTTGATTAATTTTTGGTAAAAATAGTTGTGCTTTGTTAATACTGAACGCAATTGAGGAAATAATTATTGGATTTAAGTTTTCTACTCGTGATTTTGATGCTGCTTTCTTAAATTTCTATTTCTGCCTCACTTCTAGAGTAAATATTTTTGAAGTATTTTGTTCCAACTGCTTTCAGAACCAGTATTTTGTTCATTCTTACATCACTATTTCTTCTTTTTTCATAAGAACAAATTATTTAATGAACTAACGTCTCATTATCCTACACAATCATATCTGTTATTATCAAAGTCTTTTGCTTAAGGTATCTTAAATCTTCTCTCATAGTAATGATAACAATGATGTACAAGGCCAGGATTAGAATTGGTTTTTGTAATTTTGTTAAAGTTAAACACTTCCATTCCACCCCCATCGATCCAGGGCAGTTTTCCATCCGTCTTCAAAACACGTGCACATATATATATATAACAAACTACTATTTGGTTAACATGTAAACCTTTTTTGTTCACCATTAAGCTAGCAAATCATTTGGTAGACCTTGGTTATAAGTGTTGATTTGTCTAGGTAGCATACACTGTAGAGTAATAATCTTTGTTGGTCACATCATATTCTAATCATCTATTAAGGAATTGATTTTGGCACACCAAAAATTGATTTTGGCACACCTATTGTGAGAGCACAATTTTTTATGCTCTTCTCACATGGAAGTGTGCCAATACCAAACAAGGATGTGTCAAAATCAGTTTTTTCATCCATCTGCATAGTTTCTCCTCTTTAAGATTTTTTTTCTCCATTAATTACTCTTCAGTTTTTCATTAGTCATCTTTTTTGAAACTTCCATACACATTTCCGCATACTCAGTTTTGTTTGTGTGTGTATGGTGGGTTTAGCCGCCTTTTAGTGCACTCCTAATATTGAGGGTCTTGCCTGTGACCATAACTCATCTGAAGTTGTGTTTGCTTTCTAGCAGCAAGAAGGCATCGGGTCTTCGACTGGGGACTTCGACTTCGATGGGTACACCTTGGATAATATTCCTGTGTAGAGGAATATGTAACCGTTTAAGGTCTGGTGACATTGTGAATGTACATAGCCGCTGCTGCAAATTGGGAGGAACTTTATTCATCAATTTTTAAACCAGCTTCTGGACCACCATTTTCAGCTAGAGAACGGCTTTCTTGGCTGGTATAGATTTAGTTATTCACTTATTTGGTACATTTCCAAAAGTTTTGAATGTTTTCCAGCAGCTTGGGTTTAGTAAGAAGTGACTCTTATTTAAGGCCACTATTCACCTTTCTTCTAAGGGTGTTTGTCGTCGTGACTGCATAGCTTGTGCATATGTGAAGGGGTGGGAGAAATCTGCAGATTTGCTAGGAGTTTTCTTTTCTTTTTCGTTTCTATTACTGTTGTTCTTCTAACTTGAATAACAAAAGGTTGATTGTCTAGTGTTTAGACTATGATGTACAAATTTCATTCGATTGTCCAGGACCGCGAGAAAAAATTTCTTTTGTTTACCTGTTTCGTTCCTTTTGTATTAAAAAAGTTTGAAGTTTTTTGTATGAAAAGTTGCTTTTTGATAAATGACCCACTAGCTTATGTCTTTGTATTCACTTCCACCTTAAACCTATTTTAGTTTCAAGGTTATTTTTCCTTAATTGATCAAAGTAAATTAGGATGATATTATGTGAAGTAGAAATCCTGGTGATAGTTATGCTAGTTTACCCTCTCTTTCTTACTTATCCAAGTCTTTTTTACACCCACCAACATCAACACAATACACAACCTCTCCCATTGCCTTAATTCGCCTCCAATCCAATCATTGATTTACACCGGTGACAAAAACGTCGTCGCTGTCAAACGGGGTGTCTGTTGGTACATTCTGAAGAAAACCCAAACTCTTTTACCTCCCTCAGTTAGATTCAAACAAGCAGTGGCTTTATATTATAAAGGGTAAACAGGGGGGGACCTGAAAGAATGTAGTGGTATCCAGGTTGTGTTTGACAATGGACCGCAATTTACATGTCATGTACACTTGAAGCTCTTTAGTTTTGTACCCTTTTTCATCTAGATGAATGTATGTTTTTGTAAAAGTAGTGAATTAAGTACCAAGATGCTGAGCTCACTTGCTGTTATGTGTCCCTTGTCTTTGATCTGATAAAGTCCGGGCGACCTAAGGGAATCCGGTTCTGTTTTTACCATGGCTACGGAAGGATAAGAATCGCGATTATTTTACACCTTGTCTCTTGGTTTTATGCTCTCGACTCTTGTCTCATGCTCTTGATTCCTCCCCTAAGGACCAGTATCGAGGGCATTGGTCTAGCGATTCTTTCAACAATTGGCAACGAGTATGAATCTCAGAACTGGTTTTAGATGCGGTGAACTGAACTATACGAGAATACTCTAAAGGAGAGAATTGAGAGAAAAGTAACCAAAATGCTTGAAAATTTCGGAATACCTACTAAATTTTTGGCATTCATTTTAAATTGGCCAACTTTTGACCCAATTTGACTACATGCTATGCAATCTTAAATAAACAAAATTGACTCGTATTTGATTGAATTATCCTATCTCGACTCAAAAAGAACGGACCAAGTACATATATTTCATGATAAGGGAGTTGACACTAAACTTGAATATGGACATCATCCGCGTATAGAACTCAAATAAGTTATCATTAGAAATGTGTTTAAAAACAAATTGATTAGAACTCAAGTAATTTAAGTGATCCATTTACCATCTCTATTATAAAGACTCATAAAATAGTCGGTGGATTATGGATTCATCATGACTTTTAAAATGATGAATCCTTTTTTCGTCAGAAGTTATCAAGAAAGCCATTAAGCAAAGCCTACCACTGATAGATACGTGCAGCTTCATAAAGTAAAATGACACAACAAAACAAATTGATGACACATTATTTTACCATCACCATTTTACCACGAACGTTTTTTTCCCTCACATTAGTGTACTTTTGTAAATAAAATTATAGTATTAACATAATTAAAGTAGTGTTGAAGGGAATATTATGATCATACATACGTTAAAACTAACAAAATCTAATATGAAACGGAGTATAACAAATGAGAGTAGGAAATGTATGAAGAACGTCAAATTAAAAGTTACAATGTATCAACTAAAGAATACAGAGGAAATGTTATGTCTGTATATAACTTTGGTACTACGTATTTTCTTTAGCATGTATTTCATAATAACAAGAGACTTACACAATACTCACTATTTTTATTCGTGTCGATATGATAAATAATTGGATTATTTAATTTTTTTTTTGGTAAAAAGAATGAATGGTCGAATGGAATAATAATATTTCATGGCATTTTACAAGTTTTATGCATGCTTTGGAGGTTAGGAAAACTAAAGAACATCTGTAGTAAACAAGGTTTTTTTTTTTTCTTTTCATTTTACAGTGTTAGGCTGTTAGGTTGGCTGTCTTACACATACTTCCGAAATAGCTGGATTTAGAGAAGATTAGTGGACAACGTTGCTCCTAATCATTGAATATCTCACTACAGTCCTTGTTCAACTGGCTTTGAACTTTGGAATCATGGGACTTTTAATTTGTATGATAATATCTCTTCTGTTTTTTGGATGGTCATGTCAACATAATGTAATAACTTTAACTAAATCTCGTTTACATTATTACTCTCGTGACATCCTCTATTATATTCGCTATTATGATTCATTTGACTTATATATTTGTCAAGGCAAAACTTTGACCATTAATAACCTTAAATATGTATTTTTAATAATTTTAAAATTTAATATTATGAAAGTATGCATCGTGACTAATTCAATCATATATTACATAAAATAACATAAAATATAAAATCATGTATTTTTATATTAATAAAAAATCTTTTAAAAAAATAAATATTACAAAGTAATAAATAAATTCAAGTCAAATTCATACTCTTACAGTATATAAATAATAAAAGAAGTCAAATTACAGCGTCTAAAAAATATAAAAGGGCCATTTTTTTTAATGTAACAATTCCTTGACGGGAAGATCATCTAGGGATAGAGGGATTAACAAATTTAACCACCTAAATAACTCTACACAAGTCAATATGTTGCCTTTTATAAAGAAACAAAGGGAGTAATAACATTATTACATATACACCGTTGCCAAGGCGAAGTTAGTAAACAATAGTTGTGAATGTGTAGTAATTACCTCATTAAGTCTGGCATTCACAATACGTGAGAAATCAAGAACTGATAAATTAAAAACTCAAAATATAGAATTACAGCAATATGTTTCACATGTTTGTATATCAATGTATTTATGTACTACAGTAATCTAATTAGCTAGCAATCAATAACATTGCACATATATTCTTTCAACTGAACCTGCTACTATCAGCATTCTGCAGTTAAACTGTGGATGCAGTTCAGTCACATAGGCCAACAGTCAGCACACGTTGACCGAATCACAAAAGAATGAAAGAATTAGCAGCAGCAGCTACAAAAATCTGAGCAGATCCCCCCATTCTTCAGTCATTACTGGATAAAGAAGAGAACCAGAATTGCAATAAGAACGGGAATTAATGTCAACGGACCCTTCCGATACCCACTGTTAATAGGAAGAATGCTTGGAAGAGAGCATTCTTCCCCATTGAAGTAAAATTTGGTAGGGAAACCATCTCGCTCAGCAACTCTGATTCCTGGAGTAGGTTTCTTGGTAAAGGAAAGAACCGATTGCTGTTTACCAGGAACCCGCGGATCTGATATTTTGGTGCCATTAGTCTCTCCCATAAGATAGTTCAATCCCTCAATACCTTGCATGAAAATGGTCGTGTTGTCATCACCCATAACGGTACCGTTAAATGAATAAGCCTTTTGAAAACCAGCAGCAGCATTTTTCATTTCAGCAGCAACAAACCAGTCAGCAAAGATTGTTTCTTCCCAGTTGAAAATTGTGACTCTTGCACTCCATCCTTTGTTGAAATCTGTGAATAGATGCCAGTTGATGCTAACACCACAATTATCAGAGCACGGAAGTGGGTTTGGTATGGGGCGGTGGTTTAGTTGAGCCCAAGCAACGGATAGCTTAGTACGGTTATCAAATGGGATTAGCTGAGCCTCAGGAGGAAGAAACATAGCTGGAGCAGTTGTGCTACAGGTCTTGCCAGTGTTTTTGGGACAGCCACAAGCACACGTTTTGCAAGGGACAATAGAGTCATTGAAGTACGATGAGAATGAGACACAGCATTTAGGAGGGGTGTTCTTAGGCTTGGTGATATTGCAAACAACTTGCCAACTGGCGAAAACAGTCGTATTTATTGGTAGACCATTTGCGCTTGGAAACTCACTTGGGCTGACTCGCACAGGTGGCCCACATGTGTAAGTTGGGTTGAGAATGCCTTTAATCTGCCAGTTCTGAGGCGGCTCTACAACAGATTGGTTCATCTGTGGAGGCATTTTATTAACCTGGATCAGGAATGAAGAGACGGATTTGCTTTCATCCATCCCCGGTGGCAAAATTGTACCATTACGGCAACAATTTGGTATCTTTCCAAGGGTGGTGTCATTGGCGTACTGTGGAGGAAGATCAACAATTGTTGGCCTTCTATAACAGTTCAGCACAGTGGACCAATCAAGACCTTGGTATTGCACAGATTGGGGGCCATTCATACAATCATTCGCATCAACAACATCAGGATAAGCTCCTTTCATGTCTTTAATAAATTCATCATTCATCCAATTCCAGCTTAACTTCCAATAATCCAGACGGCCTAATTGATTATGGTTAGTCATAGTAACTTGAGCCCAGTAGCTCCCTTCATAAGACTTTGTCACATCATACATGATTGTCAGATCACCATTTTGCCTAGGCAAAAACTCGTCTTTTACGGTCATTTTCGGTTTGTAATCTGGATCTCGGGTGCAACAAGTGTTCAAGGTGACATTTCCTGTAACATAAAAAGGAAAAAAATGAATATTATACTACTAAAATGAGTACATACGCGTTACAAGTGAAGCATTTGATAAATGGAACAATATAGTTTGAACATAAATTTAAATTTGAAAGAATTTACCATACTATTGCCAACACCACATATGAAATATGAGTAAGCCAACATATGCTGCATTGATATATTATCTAATGAGACCTACACTGTTTTGATCAATGAGTAGGAATACCTAAGGCATTTATACACCCAAGATTACTGGGTTCTCACTTTCTAAGATTCATAGTGGATTAAATGACCTATAAGAACTACTAAATTTAAAAAAAAAAAAAAAAAAAAAAAAAAAAAAAAGAGAGAGAGAGAGAGGCAATATGCACAAGAAATTGCTAAGACAAGGTTATTTAGCCAGTTTTAGCAACTTGAATTTACTTGATCCAAATGAATAATGATCAGCTAGTTCGGACTTAGGAGAATACAATGGCAGTATGTTTAGGATAAGTTCAGGATCAAGGTATTCATTCTATAGAGAGCCAATTATGTCTGTAGTGTTCATCTTGAGCAACTAATAGCTGAGAGCAATCAAAGTGTTTTCCAGAGGCAATATGCTTGGCTATAAAAGAGCATAGTACATGCTACATTAATACAGAGTACAAG